ATGATTTACAAAAACAATATCTTATCGATTCTTTAATTCAACAAATATAATATAACATTTAAAGGTTTATGAAGAAATTGGTTATGACATTGGCAGTGTGATTAACAAGGACGATTACATTGAAACTGTGTTGAATGATCAGATCAATAGATTATACATAGTGCCTGGAGTCAGCATGAAAACAAAATTTTCTCCTCAAACTCGGAATGAAATTGGGTCGATTGAGTGGTTTGCTTTAGATAAATTGCCATCTAACCGTAGAGATCATTTAGCTGCCAAGAGTTTAAATAAACATTCCTTTTACATGGTATTACCATTCATCAGGTAATAAATCAATTTCAATTTATTACACTTATTTTATTTTAGTAAATTTAAATCATTTTAACAATAACTATATTTTCACTACTCATTATATAGACAATTGAAGAGTTGGGTGGTTAAGAAGAGAATAAAAGATAAGCAGAATGCTAAGCCGCCCAAAAATTCTAAACAGCCTTCAAAGAATTCTAAATTGTCTCCAAAGAGTTCTAAATCGGTGGCTGAAAATCCTAAGTCAGTGACACAAAATAGTTCTAAAGCATTGCCCGAGAATACTAAATCGGTGCCTGTGAATCCTAAATTGCCCCCCAATACTTTAGAATTAATTGATCCCGCCATCATTTTTACTCCGGATAGAAAAAAAGAAAATACAAGTTTCCTTGTAAGTATATTCTTATCAAACTAAAAAAAATAATTTTACTAATTAAAATAAAATTTTTAGACTTCTCAGACGCAAGAATTTTTTGCTATGTTCCCGGAACGATACAGTTCACCAAAATCTGAAATTATAGTGCCCCAACCAAGTACACCTATACAGCAATCTCCTTCTCCTGCAACTACGTCATTAGCTGAACCCAATGCGATTTCGGTTTGTGTGCATTATGATTATACTTGCATAATACATGTTGGATAATAAATTTATTAATTTTAGGAAGCCAAACTTAAAGAATTCTTCGCCTTGTTCCCTCAATGTTTGGATGTCTCCAAATCCCCAGTGGTGCAAAAGGATACTGTTGCCGCTGTTCAGGTGACTGAAAATAAAAGCAGAATCAGAAAAACAAGTCCCTGGCCAGAGTTTAAATTCAACACAGCTGAAATAATGAAATATTTTTAAACATATTTGACTTCAACTCCTCATCCCACCTATCATCCACTGAAACGTTATTGCTATTGGCAAGCTTTTAACAAAACAACAATTTAATTTTAAAATTCATTAATTTTTTTTTCTCCTTATCATTTCATTCAATAGTTTTTCTCAGTAAAACTAATAACATTATTCCTTTTTCTTTTCTATTTCTCAAAGTAAATATTATAAAATGATATTTATTTATACAATAGTATATAATAGGTATAACTCATACAATTGTATGGTTGTATAAAATATATTTTTTGTTTATTTAAGTATTATTTGAAAGCCTTTCATATTATTGATCCAACTATTTTTTTTTGTATTCTCTTTCTGTAAACATTAACTCGAACAATTTTTAAATGTACTTTTTGATTTATTGTCACTGCATAATTATTATTTTTTGATAAATTTGTTGTGAATCCAATAAACCAAATCAATCTTGCCTGTATTATGTTTCACTTTATTGAGTAAAAAAATATAATATGTTGAAAAGTTCATTAAATTGTCTGCATCTATAAATCAGCCATATCATTGATTAAATTTGGTATCATATTTAAATAAACTTATACCTCAATATTTCCGGTTACATCTATAAATAAAAGGTACTTAGCTAGAACTTATATTTCATATCACCTCTTATATAATTAAATACAAGTTCATATTGTAGACAGACATTGAGGTTCGGGTTTATTATATTTTGTATTCAAGCTAAGCAGATTAAAATTAAAAAAACTCATGTTAGTTATAGAGTTTAGTGTTATACCTTAAAAGACAGTTGACTATAAACAATGACTGTTTTCATGAATACTGGTACGTCTGTCATTTTGTACTTATAACCTAACCTTGAGTATTAAAAAAAACCTTACGCCACTTTAATATTGATTGATTTTTTTAATTAAATATTTTTTAATGTTGAGTATTAAATTATAACTTTATAAGCAAGATAGATTGTTACTGTTTGGCTGGGGTAAAGGCACTACTATTGGATTTTTTAGAAACAATCTTCGCTACTTTGTAGCCATTGAAAAAAACTATTCTCAACTATTTTAAACTATCCCTACTGTTAAATGATATATATATATATAATTATTACACAACATTACATAACTTATTTGTTATTATACAAATTGACACATAAAAATAATTTGCCTCCATAAGTAAGCTTCTTGGGTTGGTGACAAGATTTCTAATTTAATTATGTTCTCGCATAAGGAAGAAGAAAACAATTATGATGGACACCACGTAATAATGAAGAACAATTAATATATAGATTTGAAAAATAATGTTTCTCTTTATTAATGCATTATTTTCAAATTTCAAAAACGAAATCAGTTCGTAATTGTACTAAGCGCGCCATTGGCAAATGTCTTGACTTTGCCTACAAGTTATATTTAGTTATCATTTAAATAATGATGACTTGGAGATGTTCATCGATTATAAATAATTGTGTTCATCGAGGATTCTATACTATATTAGATCACCATTGCTAAATGAACAATAATAAAATAATTAAAAGTAGGTAGAAGATACTGCAGAAGGTCGTTAATAAAGTATATTTAGTTTTACCTTTGAGTCTGACTACATTGTATTTTATTATAAAATGTATACAATAATATTTAATTAAAATTGTTTGTGGTTTTGAATGGACTAAGGCATTGCACCCAAATTGACCAGAACCCGTAATGACCCTACGAACCTTTAAAAAATCAAACACTTGAAATCCATGTAACCAGAACAATTTTTTTTTTAAACAATCGATTTAACCAAACCCCCAAAACACATTCTGGTTACCCCGGAACCCAAAAATTTTTTGATTTTCTATCTTCATGTAATTTATCAGTATGACTTGAAATATTATTTTATAAGTATTTTATGAAGTTTGGTTATTAAAAACAAATAACAATATTAAGACATGAATACACGACTAATAAGTAATTTTACAATAAAGTTATAGAAAATACTTTAAATATATATTTTAAATAGGTAACACAAAAATAAAATTCAATTCCATCAATTGTTTCTGATTAAACCGAATCGCCGAACATTGTATTTTTTCAGTTACAATTTATCATTTTTTTAGTACATAATAAATCCAAATATTTAATATAGTCAATTGCAATATAAAATATTAAGGTGGATGGTCTGGAGTAGTGAACTCAACTACTAAATTAAAGTATGGTATATTATAAAAATATATAATTTATAGTACCTGTTTGCTGTGAGATTGCCATACCGTAAGTTACTATTTTTGATTTTTTTTGGTTGGGAGGAGTTAAACACAGGGTTTAAAGTGGGAAAAAATTCTAGGGGGGAACTAATGTCTCCATATGGTTCTAAGCGTTCCATATATAATTGTATGTATAATGTCTAATGCATAAAATCCTAATTTGTTAAAAGGGGCGCTTTTTAACCGCCGTCAGAGGTAGGGGGCGTCCCCTCCACTTTAACCCCTGGTTTAACAATTAATACTTTTAATAAAATACTATAAAATTATGTGTTTTCTGGACGACTGAACCTGTGTGACCCGTATATTAGCCCAAACAATTATAATTAATAATGGTTGTCAACATCCAAACGTTTGTATAGGTTTTTTTATTTGAGTGTCTGACACCTAAGTAGTTTTAGCACCCAATTAAGTCAGGTGCAAAGCCAAGATATTTTGACAATTTGATCATACATAGTAAAGGTTCTTTTAAGTAAATATATGATAAAATAAACGTTTGATGAAAATTTCAAGTACTTATGGTTGAAGGTTAAATGAATAACAAAATCGTTGTATGGGAATATTAAATTTACGGGTGAATATCAGATGTTTAAATTCAAACGCTCATAAAAAATTAATTTGACTTTCCGGCAAGCTTTAAATTTTGTTAAATGCAGGAAGACTTAAGAATTTTATTTATTTCAGTTCTTTAGTAAATCCTTTTCAATGTTTAGTGTTGTCAAATTATCAAAACGAGTTTGCTCCATTGAAGATCTCAGCCAGGTTTTTATTCTCCTCGTAGATGAAAAGGAACGCTCGCAAGTGGCCTTAGTAACAGGTAATATTAATGCAACTTTTAACAGTTTTCTTAAATTTGGTAGTTAAATATACATGGACAATTTTTTATGCATTTCAAACTTGAAACGATTTTCCTATTTTTGTTATTTTATTATTTTACCTCAGAAAGCATCAATTTTTTTTATTTGTACAAACAATTTATGAGGAATGTTTTACTAGTTTTTTCACAGAGTTCACATTTCTTATGGACAATAATTTTAAAAAACCTTAGAGTAGCAATATTTCGATATTTCATGGTGCATAGAAATTACTACTAATATGAACGTTTCTGAGAAAAAATTTCAGTTTTTCTTTGTTTTCCTGACGCTTATGATAGTTATTGGGAATTTTTTAATTTGTACCTCTCAATATGTCAAGTAGATTCACTTTCCTACCAGAAAATCGAAGCATTTTACTGTCCCAAAAGGCAATGGCAGGCACTGTAGTAAAATCAATACATTCATTGCTCAGCAGAATCTAAAATTTCAATCACAGAATTTATCAAGTATCAATTGAACTGATAAGTCACACACTACACAGTCATGTTGGTTACTAAATTTATAATTTGTAACGTTTTTGGAAAACAATTTGTGACAATGTTTGTTAAATTACAGTCCTTGGTGATACACACTCTCCATTCTATAACTTGGTTCTATAATGAATATGAATGTCATAATAGTTGGTTTATCAAGTTTTATTATTAGTATAATTAACCAGCAATTTTATTTTGTGAACCAACTACATTTTTACAAAAACAATTTCAAAATCACCCAATAAATCAAAATGTTAACATTTTTTTTTCCACAAAATTTATAATTAATTACATAAATAACCGTTTAATGAATCAACGGAATAATACAAAGTTTAAAGAAATATAATAAACCATGATTGACACAATGAGTTTAGCTACAATAAATTGCAGGTAATTAAAATAATTGCTTAAATAAGTTTAGCGCTTAATTATCTTAGAAGAAATAATTAAAAAAAAAAATATTCAAAGATATTTCTTATTCTAGTATCTTTTACAGTGAATATATTAAAAAAAAAACTATACTAGAGAAAAAAGTCAATTAGTAACAAAAAATTTAAATTAACATACACAATATACATAAAAATATTCATGGACATTTTTCATTTTTTTTTTTGTCTCTGACTCGTAGTACTCGAGGAGAAACAAATGTCTTTTTATCTTTTGGAACGGCTTGTTTTGCTGCATTTCTAAAAGAAAAATAAATGTATATTAAAATATAAAAAGTCATCATACTAAACAATTAAGGTTTAGGTACTTAATAAATATTTAAAGGAGCATAAAATTAACTTTTATTCATTTAAAATTCTATTCTAAGAAAAATGGTAGAACAATAACGTTTCTTCTACTCATGCTATACAATGAGTTTTGAGAAATTGAATTAAGACATGTGATGTCACTAGGTCGGGCTTTTTAAATTTTTGTTGTACATATGTGATGTGTTTTTATACACTGACGATGTTAGTGGGACCAGAATATGTCTTACGTGTTTAGTTTTGAAATATTTACAAGCCCTATAATAGTAATTTTCATTACGCACACCTCTGTAACTGCAGCAGTCACTTAAAACAAAACAACGTGGCACAACCGGCCATGGTCTCTTTTAGTATTTTTAATATTTAAAAAAAAACCTACAGTATGGAAACCTTAGTTTTAAACCCTAAAGATAAATCATTAATAAATTATAATTTTAAATTGTAAGAATATTAGAAAGTACTTATTCGTGTGTCTATATCGTGTGATATCTATAGTTTAAAAAGTTTTCCACAATTTTCAATTCGGGTTTCTTGAAGAAGTAACAGTTAGGTCAATAAGTTATTGATTTAGGGGTTACTATGAGTGTCAACACGAGTGTGGAACCTCCTACAGAAGTTTTTGCTTCTTTCTGTACTGTTTTTAGATGCAAATCAGTATGAAGGATATGATTGGAAATGTATGATGGGGAATTAGTTATTTTTCTTAAGGTAATATTTTGAAATTAGTGCATTTTTTCAGATTCGAGATATTTTAGCATTACCTTATAATTGGAGGCAGTAAGTCCATATTGGTTTTGCACATAAGTAGTTGAATATTAATGAATAGTGTTGTAAGCATACATAACCAGGGTGGAGATGAGTTTAGTTGCAGTCTTTTGAATTTAATATGGTGTGCCAAGGTAACTTAACAACCTAGTATCAATTTGAAATACTTTCCAGTCAAAGATGGTAGGATTTGGATATCATAGTTATACCAGGCATTGTGCTTGTTTATAAGTAAATGTAGCTTGAATTGGTTTTACTTTGTTGACTTTAATACAAATTTATGAAGTTATTTTAAATTATAAAAAAATATATATTAACATTTAGCATGAGTATCTAATACATACCAATTATTTTAATTGGAACTATTCATAAATATAGTTCAATTTTCATATCTTTGATTTATACTTTACATATAATTATAATAATTAGAGGGCGGAATTATATGAATTTAAAAATTGTCAAATATGATGCAAATATGCATACAAAAAATGGTTAAAAATGTAATTATAAGTATTTAATACTTACGATGCTACCCATGCATTTGTTGTCTTCGTCTTAAACACGTACGACATAGAACATTTTCGTTCATTAGTTTCAATAGTGTGCAGTTAGTTTTGATATTAGAGTGAATTGACCTATTATCAAAGTTTTAGATAAGAACATTGTTAATGCTTAAGCGTCGGAACATTTTTGGATACTTCAATTTTAAAGCGAGATACACACATTTTTGATTTGTGTTATTTTACATACTCATATCTTGATTGAATATGAAAATATCAAAGCTTCAGTAAAGATTATGTTCTTACCTAAAAGTTTGATCATACTTCACTCTAATATCAAAACTAGTGGCACACTGTTCAAACTAGGGAACAAAAATTTGCTATGTCGTAAGTTGGTAAACGTAGACAACAAACGCGTAGGTAGCATCCACTCAATAAAATATGCTTAAAAAATTAAAGACCATTTTCTACACCAATAATTGTAATAATAATAAACCAATAAACTACTAAATGTTTTATCAGAAACTAAAATACTCAAATAATTAAAATTGTAACAAACATTTAATAGATTAAAATATTTCATTCAGTATTATAAAATATGCAAAGAGAAAATAAGAATAAACTAGAATTTGCTGTAAATGCCTATTGAAAATCATTTAAAATATAAAATAACACAAAAAACTGACAGTTAATCTAACAATAAACTTTCAAATTAATAGTACTAAAATCACTTGCCATGAAAATATTTAAAATTAAAATAGAAAACAACTTTTAACATAGCAAAATATAAAAATGCAATACTTTATAAATAACAAAATTAAAAAAAAACAAATCTACTGTTTATGTTACATATTATTTTAAGTAATATGGAATATGGCTTGGACTCTAGGGAAACGACAAATTGACAATCAAAATTAAAAAACCCGCTGATGCATACGCATTTACATCTATCATGTAAAATATGATTATATTTGAACAAAATTCTGAAAAACAATGTCAACAACTTTTTCTACAGTAAAATTGATTGCTCATTAAATACACATGTTATATGCTTTTATGAACTAATATGCAATAATCCTCTACATATGCAAAATCAAATTTATTATTTGAATTTAGTGTGATAATGAACAGCAGACATTTAAAACCACCATCAACATGCAAATGCATATAATTTAATTTTGATAATAATGAATTAAGACGTAATGAACCAAAATTAATAATTTTAACATAAAAAATTAGAATCCATTAATAATAATAGTTATTAACACTTAAAATAATAAAGCTAACTATGTTTTTGGTACAACTGCATAATTTAACAAAATACATTTCTATTAAAAATAAAGGGATTAGTATTAAAACATTAGTTAAAAATGATTAATATTATCATCAAAAACATTTTTTTTTTTACCTTGTTTTCCTTTGAATGGGTGAAATTGACTTTTCTGCATTCCTGCAACATAAAAACAAATTTATAAAAGTATTGTTCAAACTGGTATTTTAGATTCTTTAGCTGAGTTTATATAACACTGTTATGTCGTCTTCGGTATAATATTTAATACATGTATTTCTGTGTACAACTTAGTGCTGTAATTTATCTAGGTATGATCAGAGAAACAGTGTTTTTAATAGCTACAACATATTTTAAGTTTAGCATTTTATAAGGTTGATTCGTAAATATTTTAGGTGTGTTTTTGCGGAGTTCACAAAGGAAACGGTTTGCAAACTGTTTACGGATACGTCAAATGAAGTTCATTCACCACCAACTCAAAAATGTATCATCAAGGATACTACTAGAAACACTAAGCTATTGAAAAATTGGCTAGTGATAAGTCAAACATTTTGGCAAACAGTAGATAATTTGCTTTCGGGGCTTCAGTGAAAATGCAACTATTGAAGCATTTAGGGTTTTATTTATTATTATTTCAGAATACTGAATACCTAGGCAGTGCAAGGGACCAAAGTTCTTTTTGAAACAATATCTGAACATAAAGAGATTGTTCTGTAACTCTGTATTTTTAATACATCAAATCGTAATAAAGATAATAGTCTGTTTTGTTAAATGATCAAGATAATCTTCAAGAAGCAATGCATCTGTGTGATATCTGGACTTATTTAATGTATCTTATATTCGTATTACAGCACTGTTAATACCCAAGTAACAGAACCATATGAATAAGTTTATTTTTTTCTTGACTTAGGTATATTGATTAAGTTTTTAGTTCTGCTTCTTATAAAAAATTGTTTTACCTTGTTTTTCTTTGTATGGGTGAAATTGACTGTTCAGCATTTCTGAAAAAACAAAAAATTATAAAAGTACGGTTTAATTTATTATTTTAGATTCTGAACAAAAAAAAGTATTGTAAATTGGTTTGACAGTGAGTTTTTTTCTGTTTCTGCGCATTGGAGGAAAACTATTGATTTATCTCCAACATTTAGCTTGGTTTATAGTAGTCAAGGTTGATAGGTTGGGAAATTGATGAAGTGAAATTTCTTTACGGTTATGAAAAAAAAACTAAACTATTATTTGCTAGTTATTACTATTGCAATCAGTGTTTTGATGGGCAAATATCTATTTTTACCATGTCTTGTGTATGTAAGTTTCACTTCAGCAGAAATATATTATACTTAACACGAATCTCTAAACAAAAGCCTATCAAAAATTAAATTTAATACACATGTAAAATAACAGTTTGTAGGTGATTTTATTATGTACCGGATTATCGTATATTCAAGTTACAGAAAGCCTTAGAAACCTACAGGGCCAAAATATCATTAAGCAGCAAGGATCAAACAATACTAGGATCCTAACATTATGTAAATTCTAATTCAGGATATATTTAATACCTTATTTATTTACCTCATAAAAATTGTATGGTATTTTAACTTCATCCCCCGTAGTAAATGTATTATTATTATTATGTACAACGTAAAATACACCTTAAACTTTAATCAAAAATAATAGTACTTTTTGTCAGTGGCGGTGTGAACGGGGTTAATTTGATGCAGTTGCGTCACAAAAAAAATAGGTGGATGGGTGTTGAAAGTTGACATTTGTAGTTGAGGAGAAGTTAGGAACTTATTTTAAAATCATCAATTAAATAAACAGTTTTAATATTTACATAAGCAATAGTGAACACGACAATAGATGCTAAAGATGCTATAAAACTACATCGGACTAAGTTATAGCTCTTAATATTAAATATAGTTAAAAATATAATTAAATATCTCTATATAATATATGTATTATAATAAATATACACATGTATTATATACCTATATACCAATTGAAAACAATTAAATATTACTGCATTTATTTTTAGTATCTTATCTTTGTTTAATATTTTGGTATTGGTATAAAACATAAGTGGGTTGGCGTTGAACATTTTATACTGCGTTATTGAAAAAATAATTTCATGCCGCCACTGCCTTTTGTACACAATATTATGTATAGTTAAATATTGGATTTTTTTACTACTTTAATTTTTGGACTTTAACTTCATCAAACTTTTAGGTAGAATACCACTAACAAAAACTATGTACAACAATTGTTTTTTAATCCTATTGTGAGATAATTGTTCACTTACTTGTTGTTTTTCACTTTGCTATCAGCAATAGGCTCTGTAGGATCAGACTTTTTACTTTCACTTTCAGCTCCTCTGAGAGTTCCTCGTCTAATTTTTTTACTGGTAGATGGAGCAGGGTCAAAAGAACAATTATCAGAATTCAGTTGACGTTTTTTGGTTTGAGATTTTTCATTTGACTTTTTTGTTTCTTTTTTACTAACTATTGTAGTTTCAGGAAAAGAATTATCAGAAGCTTGTTTTACAGATGATTTGGACATATTTCGGGTACGTATATTTGGAGAGTTTGAAGCACGAGACACTGTATTTGCAACTTTGGATGAAATATCACATTTTTTGCCTTTAGTTTTAGACTGAGATACAGGTGATGTATCAGCTGCACGTTTGCGACTTTGTGTTTTTGGCGGCTGCAGTGAAACATCTGAAGTTTTACTTTTTTCTCTAAGATTACGTTTAGTTGATAATGAAGATAAATTATTATCAACAATCATATCTTTTTTCTTAGTATTTTCTTTGGAAGATTTAGGTAGACGATGAATTGATTGAGGTTTTTGAGTATTTTTTTCGGTGTCTGTTGAAAATTCATCTTCTGAAGAACCTTTAGAATTTGATTTAATTGGTTTAGAAGGTAAGGGACGATTAAGTTGAGAATTCTTTTTTGGTTTTAAACTCGCAGACTTATTTGTAGTTTCAGGTACAGAATTATCAGGAACTAAATTATTAACTACTGAATTTTGTCTAGTTAGGATACAACTCTGCTTCTTTGGAGAGTTTGAAGACCCAGAAACAGGGTTTGCTACTACTTTGGATGAAATATTCTTTTTTTTGTCCTTATTGTTTTGAGTTAAAGGCGATGTATTGGCTGCACGTTTGCGACTTGATGTTCTTGATTGCATTGAAACATCAGATATTTTTAATTTTTCTCTTTGACTTCGTCTGGTTGGTAATGAGTTTAAATTATTATCAACATCAACATTTTTCTTTAAAATTTTTTCTTTGATTGATTTCGATTTTGATGGATGATTAATTGGTTGTAGTTTAAGAGTAGTCTCTTCAGTTTCACTTAATGATTCATACTCTGAAGTATCTTCTGTACTTGTTTTAATTGGTTTAGAAGGTAAGATACGTTTTGACCGAGAATTCAAATTTGTTCTTAAGTTTGTGGATTTCTTTGTTTTAACAGTTTTTGAAATTTTAGTAGATTTTGATTTAATTAGGTTCTTATTTTTTTTATCGAACTTCAATATACCGGATTCAGATAGAGCATTAGTGTTAGTACTATATTTCTTAGAAGATGAGGTATTTCTTTTTGATTTTTCTGTTTTTTTTACTTTATCAGTATTTAATGCATTTTTCATGTTTTTAATAGATGAAGGAGTAATAAGTTTTCTTCTACGCAATTCTCTTTCAAATGTTTGTATTTCATTTATAGAATTTGAAGAAGACCCGTCATCATCAATACTTGATAGTAAATCTTCTTTAGTAAATAGTCCTTTATCATGTTCTTTTTTATTTTTTGACACACTTTTATTCACACTCATTGATGGTAATGGTGACTTAGGACTATTTTTCTTATCTTTTGTTAGTTTTTTAGTTTGGCTACATGGATATGTGTCTTCTTCTGAATCAGTTTTTAAGACAGGAACTATTGTTTTATTATTCATTGAACTGTTAGTGTTTGCTTGAACAGATTTATTGTTTGTTTTATCAGCAGTTTTGTTATTCATGGAATTATTTTTTCTTGGTAATATTCCATCACTATCGGTAGTTTCAGCTGAACTACTATCATCATCAATGAGAATGGTCGGCAATTTATTAGATCGACTAGACCTTCTAACAGCACTAATATGATCAGATCTATTTCTCATAGATTTTTTAAGCCGACTAGACTCATATGAAGTATTGTTAGACATTCTTGATGACTTCCTTAACCGCTGTGTAGAATTATTATTTTTAATTTCTGATGTATTCTTCTTAATTGAGTCTTTTGTTGGTATTGGAGTTAATACTTGAGACGATTTTGGTTTCTTAACAAACAATTTTTTTTTACGGATACTTGTGCGGTCAATATTTACATTAATATTAACAGAAGCTTTTTTAACAGATTCATTAAATTCTTTCATCATTTGAGACCATTCTTTTTGACTAGCAAATGGTGTAACTGAACGAGAACGACTTTTATCTCTTGATCTATCATTATTCTCAGCAGGATTATTTCTTGTGGTTTCATTTGGCTGTAAACTCGCAGTAGAATTAAGAGCTGTTTTTGAACTTTTAGAGTTATTCCAAGGTGTAGATTCATAGCGAGGTTTACCAATAGATGTATTCAATGAACGATGTAAATTCTTTTTTGTTGTATCTTTTTCATTGTTATCATCATCACTAGACGAGGATAAACATAATTCTGCAATCCTTTTAGTTGAATCAATTTTACGATGCTTGTGTTCAACGGATTTATTTAATGGTGATCTCACAGATTTTTTTAATTCTTTAGAATTATTTGCACCAAGAGCAGTTCTTAATTGATCCCAATCTATCAATTTTTTTTTAGTTGATTTTGGAGAAATATTCTTTACAGAAAGGTTAACTGGGGGTGTGGGTATGTTTGAGGCCTCGCTATTCACATTTATATTCTGCACAGAATTTGTTTCATCAACTGTTGTTCTGGCTGGCAATTCAGAAGAATTCAAATAGTCAACATCTGTTAAAGATTTGTTACAAACATTATCTTTTGCTGGGGATTTTGGTTTAGATATAATTTCTGTGGATTCAACTACTGTTGATGTATTTAATGAATTGTTTGATAGATTATCACTTATTTTTAAAGCAATATTTTCAGTATCTGTTACTTCAAGTTCCAAATTTGATGTTAATGTTTTCTGTTTATTTAAATCTAATGTTGAATCTACAAGAATAATTTCATTTTCATTACAATTAGAGCTTGCATCATTTTCACTGTGCATTTTGTCAAGTTGCACCTCAATAGCTTCCATGAGGCTTTTGTTCACGGGTTCAGCTGGTAAAGCACCGTCTTCACTCAATGTCTTATTACAATCATCCAGATTAACTTTTTTAAATTCATTAACTCCTAATGAATTTTGTGGATCATCTCCGACCATTAATACATAACTTTCATCCAGACTTTCTTGATGTTGCGAATGAGTGGTTTCGTGTTCATCAATACTTGCATTGAACATTTCAGCTATACTCTGAACTACTATTGAAGGAGTTTCACCATTAAGGGTTTGTTCAAAGACTTTTGAAATAGAATTTTGTTTGTCAATTTGATCTGAATTAAGATCTGTAGATTTATTGACAGGTTCTACGACATCATTTTTTGATGGTTGGACTTCATGGGTACATACATCATCATTGACATATTCAGAATCATTTTGTTTTTGATTAAGTTCTTCTTCTATTGGTTTATTTTTCTCAGATAATTCAGTAATATTATTTGGTGATTCAACATCATCAGAACATATTTCTTCATCTACAGTTTTATCATGACAATTAGAATTATCTTTTAGGGTTTCATCAATATTATCTTGATGTGTTGATGTAATATTTACATCATGATCTATTGCGAGATCTTCAACATTATCAGACTTTGTTAGAAATTCATTTGTAGATGTTGTACAGTCTTCTGTAATGGGTGAAGAAATGTCAAGTTTCGAATTTGTGTCACACTGACTATCAATTATTTCAGTAGAACTCAAATCTTCTTCACTATCAATGAAGGCTGAATCCCTATCAATTACTGTAATAGAACTCGAGTGGGTTTTAGGAAGAATGAATGGTGAAGCAAAACTAAATTCGCTTTCTGAAACACCTTCGGAAAAAACATTATCTGGTATTTTATCTGTGTCTGTAATATTAAATGAATTTGTTTTGGGACTTGTAACAATTTCAACACTTTTTACTGGGCTTCCTTTAATTTCTTGAGCTAAAGTTTCATTTTCAATACTACAAGTAGTTTTAAGAGAATCTTCGGCTTCAAAAATATCTTCCAAATTTATTCGTCTAGCTGAAGAAACTGATTCTTGTAATATATTTGCATTATTTTGAGAATCATCATTAGGTGAAGTTTCTGTATGTTTTGATCCATTTATACTCAGCAAATCAGATGCTCGGATACTATGCTTGGGAGATTCATTGGAACGCTTTTCAATGGAATTTACAAGACTCATTACTTTGTTACCTCTTGATCCTCGTTTCGATGACTTACTTATACTATTATCTAAAATTGGTGAATTAATTAAAGATGAAACACTTATGTCTAACGGTTGTACACCATCTAAATCATCATCATATTCTTCAACATCAAATTGCGCAGAATTTGTAGTACTTTGATTCAAATCAATCGCATTATTTTCATCATCAGTAACAATAAAATTAAATCCTGGATTTAATCGGGTCTTTGTACTTTTAATCTTACTATCTGTTTTTGGTAAACGAGCAAACTGAACCATACGACAACTTGATTTTGATCGATTCGGTTTAGTTGTTTTAGAACACTTCAAAATAGAACGTCTTGGAGTAGGTGTAGTATTTTCTTCAATTATTATAGGTCTATTATCAACAGAGTATGTATCTCTTCTAGAAGTGCCTGGTTCAGAAACTGATAATTGATTTATTTCATTTTTATTAGATTGTGAAGTATCATCATCTTTATCGTTTAACTCTGTTTGGTTAACAACAGGAAAATTGTTATCAGCTAAATCAGTAGTATTTATATCAACAGAATCTTCATTATTCAATGCAAGACAAGGTGGTTCGGGGGAATCAAATTCTATGTCTTCATCTTTATAATGATAACTAGAATGTAAGTCAGGAGTAGAATCTCTTTTTAACCGTTCAGTAGATAATCTGTTATGAGCTCCAATTGAAGATGAATTGTCTGATGTGTTAGTAACAATCCAGGATTTTCTTTGAGTGGTTTTATAATTGCCTAGAAGCTAAAACAAAATTATACACAAAATTAGAATATTACTGTCAATACAATACATAGAATCAATATTTTCTTTATGCATCAAAATGCCATCATATTCATTTAATTTAAATTTAAAAGTAATAATACATCTTTCTAAAAATAAAGGCAGATTCAATCTAATTTAAAATAAAAAGTAATGTCTAAATCAAAAGCAATCAAGACATTTATTAGCATTGGTCAAAATATTCATGACTTAGATAAGCGATTAAAGATATCAAATAATAAATTGTGATAAGAAATCCATAATCGCTTCTTTCTAGACTTTGATAGACATAGTGCTGTTGCTACAATGATACAATTCTATACTAATAAAAACAAGTATTTATTTACTCATTTAAATTTTAAGCATGATCCTTGATCATATTTGAACATTGGACATTATATAATAACATAAATAAGATGCATATTTATTTGTTAAAAAATAAAATATATCTTATAAAATCAAGCAGCAGTTTTGGTTTAATCAATTGGTACCACTGTTATTGATAATCTTCAACTCTGTCAATCCTATACCTTATACTAGAAAGTCTTAATAAAAATGACTAAGATTTTCTACCTTATACTACTAAACAATGAGTGTATGGAAAGCATAACATACAGAGGGCTTTTTGATTACTCGTATGAATGGTAGTGGAAGGTAAAATATATAGATTATTGTATTAGAGATAGCTATACCACTGCGAGATGTAGTTATGGCACCCGTAATGCTATTGTTATACACTGTTCTTGTCTAGTAGTATAAGGTGCATTCTTACAAATCAATACATATTAAACCCTATATTTAGGATATATTTTTTGTGTATAGATATAAACATATAGTCTATAATCTATATCGATAAAATCCAATGAAGTTTTATTAGAGTGATTGCCTTTAAACTAAATTTATGAGGTCTACCAATTGCCAAAGTCAATTGTAAAATAACAACCCTAGGAAGAAGGCAGGTGACATTGAGTATTTATTTTTATATAAGCTATTAAATGCTACTGTCAACTGTCCTGAGCTCTTGAGTCTTATTGGCCTTAGAGCACCCTCAGTTAATACTAGAAAGTAGAAATAATTCCCCATATTATATTGAACTGGGTAACCGATGGTCTCATCAGTAGAATTCTACATTATTGTAACAATAATAGTAAGTTGAAAAACTGTTGCTTTTTTTAGTTTATCCTATTATGTTACTTGAAAATTTGTATTAGCCTCTTACTTATTCATATTATGTAATTTCCAATTTATATACTGTCCCTGTGGACGTTACTTTCAAAAAAAAAAATTAATATTACGACTATAATCTACCATGATATGTCATAAATAAATAAAATTATATTTGTCCACAGACCACAAATTATAAGTTTTTAATTATTTCCGTGGACTAAGATAAAATTAATTGATATACATTCAAGTATGCTTGCTTTAATCTAATTAGTAATAATATTCAGATACATAAAACATGTAGGAAAAACATGAAAATAATTATTGATTAATTAACTAATCAACATTAACATATTTTGTTTTATGTTGAGTATACTATTATGAATATTTTTTAATTGATTTGGTAATATCTATAGCAAAAAAACATTAGATAGTAAGTTGATCAATTGTTTTTCAGTTATTTGAAATATTATTTTAAAATTAGAAATAATTTAATAAGTACTAATTTTTGTTTACTCTTACCGGAATGTTTCGGACAGGAGTCATTGAATATGATTTCATAAATTTAGATCCTGATTGAGCAGTTGTTGCTGAAAAATATAAATAGTATCAATAATACTTAATAGATGAGTATATGGGTAGTAATAGTATTGCAAAATGTATAGCAACCAGCTAAATCAACATTTGTTAAATTTTTCAGGGTTGTTTTCAAACTCTTTAATAAATAAATCAACAAAAAATATTAAAGTTGATTTTTTTGTTTTTACTCAAGCTGTAGAGAAAATTATACATGGTTTCCATGATAATTGGAAACACTCAATATCTCAGCTAGTGTTCTTCAATTTTAGTGTTATTTTGTTTACAGACATTAAAGAAATTCATGGTAATACTATTTTGCATTTTTTAAAAATATATATTATAAATTAGTTTTGTGAAAGCGCACAGCTTGTTATTTTTATAATTTAAATTAAATCTGTTGTACAGCATAACAGTTACAAGCTCTATAGATATCAGTACTCTACCTCTCCTTTACTCACACTAGCTATTTTCATGTAATTCTTTATTGTGTCTATTTAGCTTTTCATCATTTATTTCTATAGCCTTCACTGTTTATAAGTCACCTCTCATCATCCCCTTGTCACACCAAATATCAGAAGCTTTTTTAGAAGAAAATTTTTTTTCTCTTAACATCAACTATACTACTTCTCCATCATAAATCTTTTTCAAATCAAACACAAATAGACCAAAAACAATTTCTTATCTTTTTTCGTGCTTACCACAATCATTTAGTCAAACATTAATTCCATAGACATATTTTCTGACATAAACCCAAACGGATTCATATAAATTGTAGTCTCCTAATTTTCTTTTCACACATTACTACAGTGTAAATATAAAAAGTTAACTTGTGACAATTAAGGTTATGATCATTATTATGTTTGATAACAGGACTAAATTTATTCTAATATAATATTTTAAATGAAAAAACTGTAATAGGTAATAATGCAAAACACAAACATATTTTATGCCTGACAAAACCAAGTAATGCGTATTAGTACCTATAATTATAAAATATAAAAAGGAACATACTTGATTTTTGATTCATGAAGTTATTCTGCACTTCATCAAATGAAGATTTAGACATATTTTCTGTGGTGACAATTCTATGGATTATAAATAAGTAAAATTTTTATTAATTTTAGTAGCTTAAAAAAAATTTAAATACTTACATTGGTGTTTTATTTAAGGTTAATATTGTTTTTGAGGGAGTTTTCATGCTGCTGGAAGTGGAAGTTGAAAATATTTTGTTGTTGTCCTTAATATGTAATTTAAATAAATTAATAATTAATACACAGAAAATTATCGTTTACAATAAATTGGACACTAAATACTTAAGTAAAAAATTATAAAAATAAACTATTTAATAAATCAGGTAAATAAATTCCGGGGTTCCATAAACAATCACTTATAATAATTTAAGTACCTGGGGGGTATTGACTTGGTTTGAAAAACTATCTGTTGATCTTGGTGATAAGTGACCACTTCTTATTCCAGACTTTTTACAGGATAAATTATTTAATTCCCTAAAGTAAAATAATATAATAATATTTATTTATTTTTTAATATAATCATATAAAAATTATTTAATGGAAACTTACTCATGTGGCTTTTTAGGATATTCCCAAACAAATTTTCTTCCACAAATTTCAATTTCATCCGAATCCTTCAACGGAAAATTACTCCTGCCAACCTTCTTCCCATTGACTTTGGTTGAACCAGCAACACTTTTGTCACGGACATATGCCTAGAAAGTATGAAACTAAAATTAATAATAATTGCTCATAAAATCATAAAAAGTCCACTTTACTTTATTGTCAACACATAGTATGATACATTGTTGAGCTGACACTTTTTCTAAAAGAATCCTTATATCACAATTATTATCACGACCAAAAGTACACTCCTTTTTTGTAACTGGAAAACGTCCACAAATTGATCCACCAACTTTTTTAACCAATATAAAACCATAGTAGGTTGGTATTGATTTTCGGTTATCCATGTCTAAAAAAATAAAGCAAATTGAATTGAATTATAAAAAGTCAAGTCAATATAACCTGACATACCTACTTCTACCTATACAATTAATATCATTGATGTAGATAATGTAAAAATAATATTGATAGAGATTTATAAGTAGATATCTTCTGTGCTTGATTTTATTCTTATTGAGTATGTACCAAAACATGGGACATTGGACTGTAGTAACCTAACTCAAACTAAGAGCAGATCTGTATTTTGACACCAATTAATTTTTGTGTGCAGATAGTCAGATACGCCAAACCAAAATGAATATTAAATTTAAAAAATGTCTTGTAACTGACCTAACCTACCTTTTAATTATTAAAACCAGGACTCAAAACTTCCAGCATTTCCATAAATTTTGATTGTACTTAGTAGTACATTAAAAGTTAGTGATATAAGGTAGGTATAAATAAGTAACAGGAATCCAATTCCAAAGGCTATTAGGTCATAATATGGAGGTATATTACCTAGAGTTTTCACTTTTATATGCTATATTATAACTATTAAAAAAATGTATTAATAAAAAGGGGTAGTGTTTATAAGAGTTTGAAAATCCCTGATCTATGCTATTAATCTATTAATGGGGAATACAATTATGAAATAAGTATACTGTATGCCTTGAGTTCATTGGTAGGTGGCAAGTGTTGCAATAAGTTCACATTTTAACACTTTTAAGTAAAAATAAGAATGGACCCTCAACATAAATACACCTTGACGATCACCACTTTGCAACAATGTGTTTCGTTGCTCATCACTTGCCAAGAGATTTATTATCTTAAGATAAAATATCCTGGTAATATCTCCTAATTCAAGATATGTTTTAATTGTATGCAACTCCAAGTTACTTTTAATACATAGGTAGGTCATTATTTTGTGACTTGTGAGCGTAAAATTTAATATTTTTTCAAGCCATATTATTTCATCATTTTTAAGTGCACTAAGTCTTGGGCCCAGATTTAAAACTGATCTGGATGTTTGCTAACAACAAATTACACTTGCTGGTGAGGCGAGACCAAATGTTAACTCACTATAATTGATTATTTAAAAAATAATCAACATTGGCTTGTTCTAAATCAAATTACCTATTATTACATCATTATACATAGCATACGAATAAATAAATAAATTGGTTATTTTGTTTGTTTTCATATTGAAACTGGACCACAGTCCACGACCTGGCAGTTTTAACCGTGTGAGAAGAATCACAACCATCAATGTCGATATACATTTTATAATAATAAATTATGAATGATAAACACAACTCCCTCAATTAATATAATAATAATAATGTAATGTAGTATAGGTACCTAGTATCAGTGTTTGGAAAGAACGCCTTCTATGAACACACATCACATGTTCATGTTTAGCGAATGATACTCGAACGTCACTCGTTTTTTCAAAATTAATGTGTATAACGTTTAAGAGAACGTAGTACCCACTATGTTGTCTCTGTATTACACACGTATGATATAACAAATGTACGTTCACCATATTCAATAGTGTGCTATTATATTTTTATATTAGAGTGTATTAACCTATTATAAAATTTAAAAGTAAGATGATTATCTACAGCCCCACATAGCCGTTTTCTTGATATTATTATTGTTAAGTTAGTTACGATCATTTAAAAATGTACAGTTTCAAAAAGGTTATAATTTAGGGACTTAAAAATAATATCAATATAAGCCTAGATGGGATTCTAGATAATAATCTTACCTTTAAATTTTATAAGAGATCAATACACTCGTAATATAAAAAATAACAGCACACTATTGAATCTGGAAACAAAAATATGTTATATAGTACATGCGTCATACAAAGACATTGCATGTGGGTACGGCGTTCTCTAAGCTGCTCAATTAATTTGCCATTTAATAAATATATATTTAAAATATAATGATTGAAATTTTCTTATTATAATTCCTGTTATAAACAAATTAAATTAACGCCTTGGCAAAAGCATTCATTTGAAATAAAACACTAACGCAAGAGTTTTTTTTTTAAGGACTGAACGTGAACAAATTAATTTTAAGAGTGAACGTTCCGAACACTGCCTAGTATACTTGTACGCAATAATTTTGACTTCAATTACAATTGTGAATCTTAACTTGGGCGTTTATGTTCGAATTTTAAATCATGATTAATTGTACACATAGATATTATATAAATGTTTAAAGTAATTATTTTTAAATCTAAATTTCATTAGTTACCTAAAAGTTGTATTTTATTTTATTGTTATGTACTTAAATGTACATCATAAGTTATTCTACGTATACTCCATTGCCCTCGGGCGTTCATAATTAAAAAACAAATAATCATAGTAGAAGTAATTGCAGTCAACGATAGTCTTGCGACCGGTACATCCTTTCGATCGAGGACGGATGTAAACGTCAACGGACAAAAATGATCTACACACTACCTACATAGATACACTTACTATTATTTTATGCGACCGGCGCGAAGTGTGACGGAACTTGGAGTCTCACCACGGTCGGGCGTTCGGGAAAAATCCACCGACTACGGACAATAACAAACAAACAAACAAACAAAAAAATGAACCACTGCACGAGGTTCAAAACTTTATGAACGACATGGTATAACGATCACGGAATCTGGATGAGCGAGACGATCAGGGAACGCGAATAGCTGGTCACCTACGGAAGGCGCGCTAGCACAACAATGGAGAACACGACGGTTTGGGCGCCAACTTGCGACGGTTACACGCGTATGGCACGGCGGCCGTTTGGGATACCCCTCAGTCAGTGTTAGCAGTTCGCAGTGTTTGTACTCGGTGTAAAATGTAAATTGAACGCACGAAAGATAAGGAATAACCGTTAAAGACCACTACAGTCGTGACCCTCGGTGTCGGCAGGCTGCCATGTGTGCCCGTTTGATGCGGGCAACCGTCGATGCATCGGTTATGGTCACACTGGGTCGACAATTTAAACACCGACCGGTTCAAACTGTCTGCTGCGGCGGAGCGCGCGAATTTTCCGATCTTCAAAATCACGTTGTTCTACAACATTTACTTACTATGCGAAACGGCGACAATAAATTACAAGCGTTTTATTCGAGTGAGTGTCCAATTATTCCCAGACTACTTGGTAATGTATGTATAGCCGAATAGGTAATGTGTATACCATAATCAGTGGTCGAAGTGGCTCAAAATGAGTGGAGGGATGGATAATATGAATTATGAAAAGTGAAGGGATGCCATCCCACTGGCCACTGTAACCCCCTCCCCACAACTTCGACCACTGATACGTATAATATGTATGTATGAGTTTCAAAGCATAATAATGTATTACATAGAAAATGGTACTAGTTAGTAGTTATACCATCAATCCATATTAATATATTATACCGAACGACAAATTCATAGAATTCCGTGTGTTATTCTGTAGAAATAAAAACAAAATGCTTTTTTAGTAAAACTATACCTTTTATTACTTTTGTCTGATAAGGACCCATGTAGAAATGCAGTTGTGTTGATTTTTACTTAAATGTTAAATCATTTTTAATAGGTATTTGATTACCTACCTGTAAGTTGTGACTCTACCAATTATTGTAATTCATAATAATATAGATTAATATTGTACATTATTGTTATTATTATTGTTATACACAAAACACAAAAAACTGACAATGTTGATACCTATTACCTACCTACTTTTATGTTTACTATAGGCGTAACCATAAACTGAAACAAGCCTAAACATAATATTCATAATAGTCAACAAAAACAACTGGGCAAGTGGGTTCTGGTCTACTGTACATTAGTCGTCTAGAAGGGGTTTCTGTAATGGGTGAGTTAAATTTGAATTCAATGATATAAAACCATTGTATACCATACAAAAAACGATTCTAAGCGAAGACAGTATGCCAGTCTATATTAGGTACTATGCATATATTTTTGATATAATTGCTATTAAAGTAAATTGAATTCATTTTTACTGAAAAAATTGTATTTGAAAATGTCATTATGTGTACCTATACAATATAATATACTAATTACTATGTTCTTCAAAAGTTTCAAGTACCCAAGACTAATATTTTTAAATTACAGCAAAATAACTAAAATAATTACCTACTCTACGTTTCAATACCAAAATTGAACTTAAAACATTTATAAAAAAAACTGTTTGTATATATTTTTGAATTTTTGGTTACAGTATTAATACCTATCAAAATTTTCTTATGACTATTAATAGCTTAAAAACAGTCAAAATATTAAAGTTGTATTAAATTTGAAAAATCGTAGTATGGACATTATTTCGTGAACTTTTCAAGAATCTACTGCTATAAGTTTTTGAGTAAATTATGCCAAAATATCACTCTGCTCAGAATCTAAAAATTCCACTACTTTTCTTAATAATTGAGGAAAATTAGAAAAAAAACAGGACAATTTAGTTAACACCAATTTTTGAAAAAGTCAAATACTTTATTTTGTATTTTGTAAATTCTATAATTTAAAAAAGTTACAGTGGTAGTGGCGTACACACGGGGGTGTTTGGGTGAACCTATTCACCTAACAATTTAAAAAATATTTTGATTCGTTTTGAGCTATTTAAAGGCGTAGGAAAATTTCAAATTTCATTAGTTTTTTTTATTAATTATCGACCAAAATATTTGCACGGTCAAAAAACTTTAATTTGAATAGAAGGTTCCTCAATAGTTGATGTTACTAAAAACTAAAAATCATCGGATAATTTTTTTTTATTGGTTAGTTCTTAGTAGCACTTCTTATAAATTATACAATATAATAATTGATGTATATTTTATTGTAATCATAGTATTAAGATTGTATTAGACTATTAGAGCATGGTGTATCACATATTTCAGTTTACTATTATTCAAAATATTTTTAAGATTAAATACATAAAATATTTTAATTTAATTAATTAATAACTCATCAATATGTACATTCCATTTTAGACAATCATCAGTATGCACAAGTAAATATAACTGTGTGGGAAAAAACTTTCTAAGTTTTTGTCATCATGTTTACAAAATTCAATATGTAAAATATTTTTTTTAATTTTTGAACGGGTATTATTTTTAATTTTAAATAGCAAAAATGTCCCCCAATCTTTCACTTTGGAAATAGGTATATTAACATATATGTAAAAAAGTCTATATTTTAACACAAATGAACAGTTTTAGTCTCGCTGATTAAGAAAATAAAATTGTCACAACTATTTTAATATAATTTACCTGTCTAGTAAAGTTTTTGCTAAACAAATTGAGTATTTATCGTGTATGCTATAATAAAAAAACAATTCTCTGAATAGGTACTCAAAATTAAAAATTAAAATTCTAATCTCTGATAGAATAATGATAATATTAATACTCAAATTTTGTACAGTAAGATTATTCTGAGTTATTTTTATATAAACGTTTTTATGAACTGCCATAGTGCCGTCTGGTGGGTTTTATTGATTATTTCTGGGTATTATAGATTTATATATTTTAATTATAAATCGTGTACTATATGTTTACATAATATACGTACTACTTTTTTTTATAGCATTATGATTTATGATAATAATATACCTAATACCATGATAGAAATTCGTCATGCCTAATACTAATTATTAAATACTACGAAGCCATAAAAACAAGTATAACAATATGTTGGGTCTTCTGTACAGTACAATATTTTAATATGCCTATATTGGTACGTCAATAAGTCATATATAATCATGTTCGAAATTGATTTAACTATACCAAAATTCAAAAATATATTATAATATGTGTATAGTGTTAGTGTATACCCATTAATTATTATAAATAAACAGTACCCAACAGACATAATTGACGATAATTGTATTACTGTCTTCATAGTTCATGATTAATAATTAATACTTAATAGACTATACCTTAGAAGAGTTAGAACATGTATACATAATATGTATATATTATATAATATGATCTAAGCTCTATACTTTTCGTTCTCTAAAGCTGTAAGAATGACTTAATAATATCATGTTATCAAACATATTGATAGTTATTAGTGAAAACTACCTACCAACTTATTACTCAATTGTTTACCTATAATAAAAAAAAACCCACTGAATAAATTAAATTATCTGGATAAATTTATCTAGATAATGGTGATTTTTATCTTAGATGAGTTTGTAAATTAATATTCTCTATTTATCTAGTTAAACTCAACACTGGAAGTGACTAAGTGACTCGCTCCGATGAGCAATGAGGTGTGGCAAGGCGTGTACTGCCAGTAATCGGAATTATAATTGATGACATAAATATAAAATTAACAACGATCATTGAGCGTCAAATGGGAATCTACGAAAAATAATTGAAAATAAGACTTATTGAAACATAGAGATTAACCTAATTTATAATATTCTTCGTATTTGTGTACGCTCTATACAATTTAATAAACTAAATTTAATAAATAATGCATAATCTTTCCATTATAATAATAGCTTGGAAAAACAATATTTTGATAACTTATACATTTTTCTTGTCAAAATATACCTACATAATATTATTTACAAAAAGATAAGTCTTACTATTACCAATATTGTAAAAAAAGTTGTATAGAGACATCTTCTCCTCCCTCTTGCAACCATGCCACATTGCCACTGAACTAGCTATGTGGGATTGTGGGATACATAATCAATATTTTATATGATATATATATATGTATGTTTTAGTGGTTAATTTTTCAGATTTTATTTCTCACTATTATATACGCACTATAATTGTTATAAAATTATAGTAGTTAACTAAGAAACTCTGAAAAAAAAATTTTATTGTAACAATAGGTAACGTAAATCCGTTATTCGTAGTTCAATAATTTTATTATACGTGATCGCATGTACTCCAGTCCTTGCCTACCCATGAAATATCATTGATTATATTATATTTTATTATAGTTATTGGCGGCTATAAAAGTATAAAATAAACCACTAATTAAAATATTAAATATAATTATTCATTATATTATCGGGAATTATATAATAATCTGATACATCTTATATATCTGTTTTAATAATTTATATATAATATCTTGTAATAATCATTATTATTTAAATTGCATATCGTATTATCGTTCAGACGTTAAATCCCAGTACAAAATAATATTATAATAATTAATAGGTATATCTCTTATTACCTCCAGCTAGTCTTAATAGGACACAGCAATATCTATTTAATACCTTAATACTAAAGTTCGCTGCTAATATTTGTAGACACTCGTCGTTCGCAGACACATACGTACGAACTTATCACTCTCGCTAACTTGTTTGAATCAAGCCATCACTTGGCCTTAATATCACCGTTAAACGTTTTTAACTAAAAATATTTTTCTGTTATATTTATTTAATCGAATTACAAGTAAAAAAACAATCATTTAATATGTCCGCCACTGCAACAGTAAGCGGCAGCCACTCGCAGTTAAACTCTCCGGTGTCTGATTTGATGTGTCTGGACCGTGTCAAAACCGAAATACCCGTGGTCGGCTTGGGTTGCAAATACTTCACGAGGCTCATTTCCGGTCTCAAGGTGAGTTTCCACTACTGTGAATATACGATATTATAATTTTATATTAGTCGTATACTCGTATGTTCTTTCGTCATTCGGAAAAGATGCATTGTGAGGACTGAGGATCCCCGAACTGAGCCGCCGGGACTCATTATTTTTGAAACGCAAATTTTGGTTACAAAAATAAAGATAAAATATTCTCTCTATCGTAATTCGTAATATCATCATTGCCTATTAGCTATATTGTTATTTTTATTTCGCGGTTCAGTATTGAGGAATGATTTTTTTTTAAAATTATTTAATCGTAATATTATACATTAGCATAGTTTTTAGTTTTTACGTCATAGTTTTGTCGTATTAAGCTATATTATATTCTTTAAACTATAACACAACAACCAAGGTTTTATTTTATGTTATTTTCTGCTGTACCGTGTCGCATAGGAATCTTCCTCCGTCGTCGAGTGGAGTCTGAACAAAGCGACCATCGGAGTGGATCATGTGGTCAGATTTCCGTACGTCAAAGATCAACTGTTGGCCATTGATCGGTTGCTGTGCTCTTCGTTGGACCTTACAGAACTCTCATTACCCGTGTTGACTAGAACGCCGCAAGAAGTATTATACATTTATACCTATTTCAATTAAACATTCGAATCACCGGTAATCTATGCGTTTTGTACTTATATTTTCAGATAATTTTGATCATGAATCGCGATTTTTATATATTTTTTTACTTGCGTTCACTTGCTGTACATTAACAGCACGTTTGTTTTGTTTTAAATTATCGAAATAGATACATCGATAAAAATTTACATTTTATATTTTAAATCATATAGATAGATATAGGAACTGTTCATAGTCACGTGTATTTTGCGCAATATAAAATATTACTATAGGAAGCTTGTTTAAGGGGGGGGGGCGAGTAGGAATATTTTTGAGTGATATATAAAGTACAATGAAGACTTGACCGCAATTTATCTAAGTAATTTATGAAAAAATAAGTACAACGCTTATAAGTTACCTGTGATTAACTGTAGGCACTCTTATTTAATTATAAGTATAGTATAAAAATTCATTACCTAGTCAAAAATATTAACTACAATTTATAATAACAATTTTAAATTTTTTTTTTTCATTTGCAAACCTATTGATAATTTCTTCTATATTTACAACAATGTCTTTAATACTCCTTAAATGAGCACATTAAAGCTAATCCAGTTAATCTACTTTCGCCAATTCGTTATCTTTACCATGTTTTTAATCTACAAATTAAAAACAGTAAGAAATAAGCAAACATGCAAAGCATTTTGAAATTTGGATGCAGATGTTTTCATCCGTGTATTAATAAGCTAGATTTTATTTTTATCATTGAGATTTAAATATATTAACTATAATTTATAATTGATATAATTTTTAATTATTAATTGATTTATGATAAACATAATACAATAAAGAATCAAGAATTATCCAAAGCATACAATACAGTATTTAATAAACAAGGCTATAAATTCAAACAAAATTACAACGAAAAATGTTTTTAAATAATCGAAGGTGGAGGTAATCGCCGCGTAAATAAAGCAGTGTAGGGCTTACTGATATGAGGCGTGCTTTTAAGTAATAAATAAAAATACATTTGTTTGAATTTATTTGGAAAACTTATGTCTAATAAGCAATTATATAATAGGTGTATTTAAATAGCTATAATTGATTTTGTTAAAAATAACAATTAAGTAAAAAGTAAATGTTTTTCAGCTTATTTGCTAGTTATATACCTACTTTAGTTAATTAAAGTTGTATTAAAAAAAAAAACGAACCCACTTATCTGTAATTACCTATCATTATAATTATCAGATTATAAAAACAATTATATATTGTGTATCGATCCATTAAAGTTTTTAAGAATAAAAAAAACAAAAAAATTAAAAAGTTTACATAAATTATAAATAAATAGTGAGTATAACAGAAAGACCTTTAAATAAACGTATTCACCGTCAATATTTTTCTAAAAATAATTTTCATTAATTACATTTTCAGTATATAAAAATAAAAATCAACAATTTTTTACTGTAGGTACATGAAGCGTCTATAAATGATATATATATATATATATATATTTTAAATATCAATAAGAACAAAAGTTATTTGTATAAATTTAGTATACGAGTACATTAAAAAAAATAAACTATAGTACATAAAAAGGACTGTACATAAATAATCGAGTGAACCAAAATTGATAATTTTATTACCAACATTTTCAGAAAAAAGCTCTACTAGAATTTATTAAAAATAAATAGTTTTTACCACTGAAAAAAATTAAAGTTTATTTTGTTGTTGGTACAACTGCTTGCTTAAAAATGTATGAAATTGGAAAGTATTCTTTATTTATGCATTGTTTATTTATTTATTTATTTATTTATTAGTTTAAGTGCCTGCGAAGGCTCATGTACAATATAAGAGTACATCAATTGACGGTTAATGTAGTAAAGTGTAAATATGTGTTTGTAACTAAATATGACTTTAATTTTATTTAGAAAAAAAAATGTGTGAGATGGTTATATTATTATTAAATTATAATGTTTGTCAAATAAAAATTTCAGATGTACAATAGAAGTGTAGAATACGTAATTGGAATAGTAACACCGATTACCAATTGGGTTGACTTGGAGCTTCTGCCTCCAGCAGAATATTATGTCGACCAATATTTGCCAGAATTGGATATTGATCAACAAATAAGTAAATATGTGATGCATAAATGTAACTTAAATATTGTCTCTCCTTGTTAAACCAACCAAAAAATTAAAAAAAAACTATTGGAATGGGTACCTAGAGTTCTTCTAAGTGCATCTTTAATAATATTCTGAGGGGTTTGTTAGAAAACGGGAAGTATTTATAATACATGCATTTTATTAGATATTTACTCATACTCTGTTTGAAATATGAATAATAATTTACTTATATACAATATTGTTTAATGTTGATGTTTTTGGGCTCATATTTTATTATATTATAGGCATTGTGATATTTTTTAATTCCTTGGTTTTGGAACAAAACAGTCAAAATTAAATAGTATACAACAATTGATGCAGTGATATTATTTTTATGATTTTAAAAATGTAATTTAAACATTTTTAAATTCTTGATCTTAGTTTTTCTGGAGCCATAGGATTTTTGTTTATTTTTCTTCCCCTTTAATCTAGACTTGTTGAAGGAATTTAATCAAAGAATTATCACCTTATACAACTTACATATACCGTACATAACTATTATTACTCTCATAAATTAATTTGTATTTTTATCGAATATTAATTGAAGTATACCTATAAATATTTTTTTAGAGCCTGTACAGAGTGAAAAGGGTCCAAGAGCATTTCAATTATCCGTAAAGCTTGTTCACCGCATCAAACAACATGCTTATGCCGAACCAAAATATTTGGGGAGCCTGATATATAGTTTATATGGAGAATCAATGTTGCTGGCGAAAATAGTAAGTTGACAAATGACAAAAATGTCTGACTATTTTTTTTTACATACAACATACAACATTGGAAAATGATGTATTCATGGTTTTTATGCTAAGATTTTACTTATGTGACAATATTAAGGGAGATGGTAATTTGCCCCAAAACGAGTACATAAATTCGATTATCAAGTATTCGATTATTTCGTCAATATAGCCGGTACCTTCGTTTACGTCAGAAATCGTCAGATTCGAATGACAATATTAATTTTTCGGGGTTTCTAACTACCCACCGCGCTGTGGCTTTACCTGTTAATAAAAACGTTAGTAATAAAGTTTGATGGACCGTAGTGCATTGTAATTGCGGCACAGTATGGCATTTATTATATTGATTATAAAATTGCAAACTCTTATCTTATGAAATAATTATAAAGGCATATCCCTTGTGAATTTCAAACACGCTCACCTCCATTTTTCCCTTTGATAGTAACTTTATTCAAATTCCGATACTATTAGAACTTTTAAGTGAACCTGAAAACCAAATTTTTAAATTTCTTATATTTCTTGTACTACCTACTTTAGAAGTGTCCTCCGAAGATACAAACTTCTATTTATCTAATAAAAACTCCCATTTTCACTGCTAATTATTTAGTTTCTGAGTTGTTAAATTTTTTTTTATTAATCCTGAAAAATAGTTTTACAAAAATATAAAGTGTAGTATGTTAATATTTAATATTATGTGCAGTATTTATTATACTTGAACCATTTTTACAAATTATTTTATATAATTTTAAATTTGATAGATTACTATTAATATTTATCACTAATAAAACTACTTTTTTTTTTTCGAATTTTGATTTCAAACATGAACATTTTCAATGAAAATATCTTCTGAATAATTTAAAGTGAAAAAGAAGGGGTTCCTATTTGAAAAACAGAAGTTTCAAGTTTGTATTATCACAAGATCAATGATCATACTTAAGTGGCACAACAAATCACAAGTATTCGAAAATATAGTTTTTGATAGGATATTTAAAAATTCCAAAAAATCGAAATTTGAATAAAATGTGTTACCTATGTATTATTTAAGCATAATAATTGGGTGAGCATGGTTAAAAATCACCCTATATATATATTTATTATTAAAGTAATTCATTATATACAGGGTACGGGTGTTTTCATTTGAAAAACAGAAGTTTGTATCACCTCAAGGTACTCTTTAAGTAGTACAAAAAATCACAAGAAAATGTGTTTTAAGTAAAATTAAAAATTCCAAAAATTAAAATTTGATTAAATGCACTACTGAAGGAAAAATTGGGCGAGGATGCTTAGTGAATCACCCTGTATGCCACATATTGATTCCACCGCGCCGTTTAAAGAAAGATTATATATAGTGCCAAATTGATTAAACAAAATCGTTTGTTGATAATCAAGAAAAATCTACTAGAGTGATTATATTTTATTGCATGTAAAGTTATAGGTGAACCGTTTCAAATACCTACTAAAAAAAAGTATTGCTATCATTAATTTAATATTTTCTTAGTTTTGCCTAATTGTGGATAACTTATTACTAGGGCATGTCTTGATTAGGCTAGGTCCATAATGACGTGGTGAAAATATTGACCCCCGCCCCACCGGAAAAAATTTCTAGGCACGCCCCTGACTTATTACATATATTAGCATAATGCCATAATATTAATTAAACTATTTTTGTAGTGAACAATTTTAAGGAAATCAAATTCAAACTAATTATATACTTATATAGTCGTATACTCGTATGGGTAATATATATGCTATATGTATTATAATTATGATTAGTTATGTACTTATGTATTATATATTTATAAACGCGGATAAGTTGTCTCCCTCTTTGACAATATACTCGGTAATCGTAATAATTAAAAGTAATACGTTTTAAAATAAAATAAAGCTCACACAGGGACAGGGTAGATATGAAAAACTTATTAGTTAGTATTTTTTTTTTAAATTTAATGTATACTCAACCCAAATTTCATAGTTTGTTTTTGAACCAAAGTTGTTGCCAAAGACGTTTCGTCAGATATGGAAGAAACTTGGTGATGGCGTGACGCCGATAGAGGTAGCTAATAGCTTATTGTTGGTGGAAATGGGCTGTCTACGACTTAGAGAAGGAGCATCTTTACTAATCAAAATGATAGAAATCACCGAACAAATGGCCAAGTGTTACATAGAAATGTTTATAAGATATGTGTACGAAAAAAAAAATGTAAGTATATAAATAATAGAATAATATATTCATATGTATTTAATAAGTTATATTTATATCATGACTTATACTTGATCAATAATAAAAACGGGGATTATACACTTGTATATTAATGTGGAATTGTGAAATATGTGTCATTACTCGTAATAATAAACTTAATCGATTTAAAAATTATTCAGATTTTGAAATACCTCACCTTAATTTTATTAATCCAAATTTAAAGTAGATCATTTCCTTTTTGAATTAAACTAATTAAAATAGTAGCTTATATAAAATAGGTATGTAAAAAATGACCATATCGTTATTGAATAAATTTAGATTTGAACTATAGATATAATATTCCGTTCATAAAATATATAAAATAATTTTTTTAATTGATTGTTTAGTTGCTCTCTGGCTTGTATATTAAAATAGTATTATTGGAGTTAAAATTAAAGACTGTAACTACAATAGTACAGATACCTAGAAATATATGATATTTTTCATACTCGAACGATGGATTATTTTACAGTAAACCCGTCACCCGTGTTAAAATACTTAAATGGTAACGGTACCTATAAAAAATGTTATGTAAATTGTAAGTTCATCGATTTCGAATCAATTATATAATATTCAAACCATCAAGTTCATGAATCATGCGATATACTATCACTTACGCGATAGGAATACTTAAAGTTTTCACCGACCCCAATTTAAATATGCAATAATAGGTATACTGTATGACCGCCACTATAAATACCTATTGCCGTATATAGGTGTATACTGTATATTATAATGTATTTGTAAGTATATAATATTATTTCGATTAGGTATATTATAATTTGTATAAAATATCTCTACGAATTTGAATACCTGTACATTTTGAGAAATAATTATTTAATAGTTTTAATATTTCCAAAGTTACAGCATAAGGCAATACTTTAGTTTGATACTTATTTGAGAGCCTCTTATTGAAATATATTTTAGTACAATTCGCCCAATACAATATAATTATTAGGTACTTACCTAAATTTTTTGATTTGTAGATTATAAAAATAATAAATATAAATTTATTTACAAATTATTAAAGAAATGTTATTATCAATTTAATATCAAATTGATGTTTTTTACTTACATTTTCAATTACCTATCTAAAACAATATTATGTTTGTTTATTATTGTAGTATGTGGTCGATAACCTATCGCGAGTAGTAAATCCTGTGACGAAAAAACAGAAAAAAAACACGGAAATCATGTCTTTTTCACATGAAAAAGTAGAAGCAGAAACAATAAACGAGAATACAAATGGTGCTGAATATTCATCATCTTAAGACTTAATAGACTATAGGATAGCTCAATGTAGTTCAAATTGTTTGCACAGAGCTATTTGGCGGTTTCAGTTTTAATATTAATCATTTTTATTGTTAGTATTTATTTTATATTTTGCTAATTTGTTTTACATTTTATTCCTATTTATATTTTTGAATTTTAAGTTTTAAACAAAGAAATACAGCAATTTATTATTATATAAACTTCAGTTTTTTTTTTATTTTTAATTAACAATAGGAATTAAAAAAAAAAAAAAATTATATTTGGTATTTAATTGGTGGTGTATGCTTAGCCGTGTGAATTTATACTTTTTCTCATAGTCATTAAATTCGTTTTTGAATTATTATTATTATTATTTTTTTTAATTGGTCCTTGAGCTTCGGCAACTATAACCATTAGCTTTTGTGGGAGGTTACGGTTGGTTGAGGAACACGAGTGTTTATGTTGGGCGAAGATTGGTCACCAAGAACCCGGGTGGTCACCCATCCCGGAGCCAGCGATGCCGGACGGTGTTTGACAGCAGCGCACATTATAGGCCAACTGTGCCACACCAGGCTCCTTTTGAATTGTTATATTATTTTTCGTTGTTCATTTCATCATTTATTATTATAGGTGCCTGTTGTAACCTATATTCCTTTTAAGAGATCGTCTTCATTCCCACAATACAATTCGACACATTTAGGTAGGTGTCTACTACAATTATTATTTAATTAAAAATAAAAATAATTTCCTGTCTAGTTATGTACACACAGTTTTATGAAATGCATGATGTCTACATTTTGTTATAGGTCATTAGATACTTATGTTTGATAATAATACACATAGAACGATGATGATAAACAATAATAATGTTCAAACGATAAATGTACTGCATTAGTCGATGATGTAACTCAAACACAGCTAGTTGTAACGTGGTAACTATAATTATATATCAAAACAAATTAATAGGTAACCTACATATTGTACATGAGTACTGTTGGTCATTTAATGTGAATAACATTTTTAAAACACAGACACGAAATCGGTAATTTTTTGAATCTATACTCATATTTATTAATACACTCAAAAGTCAAGATTTGTGGTTTGATATCGATATTCGATACAAATATTACCGTAGCTTATGAATTTAAATAAAGTCATATAATTGTTCAAAAGAAAATAATAAATACAATTGAAAATATAGTCAAAATAAATGTGCCGATATTTTTAATATTAGTTTATTTATCATTCATTAAGCATATTCTGTGCTAAAATGTACGTGTATAAACTGACAAAATAGTATATTATTTATATATATAGGTACATTTACCTCATATTACATTATAATTAAATAACAATGACCATAATATATATTTTTATAACATCAAGGATAGATTGCACGAAACAGGTATACAAATTATTAAAAATGCTCTCGGACAACACAGGTGCCCGACATTTAACACTTGTATCCAATTATTGAACAAAAATATGTATAATATAAAAATTATTATAAATTTAGCCATGGCTAAACTTGTGTACCTGGGTGAAAAGTAAAAACGATACACACATTCGAGACATTTTTCTTAAACATATTCAAACTGAGCTTATAAAATGGTTTATAATATATATATTATACATAAATATATATATATATTAATAATTAATATATGTGCTATGTGCTTGCGATTAATCGACATTACATTGGATGTTTAGATGTTTCGCCAATCTATCCGTGTAATTATTACGCCTATTAATTAAGGAACACTTGGTCTTACGATAATACAAATAATGAAAAATATGATCATATTATATTATAACTATTAGTATTTATTTATATATATAAGTATGTCGACATTAAGTACGTATAAGTGTGTGTGTTGTATGGGCATTCTATCCACGGGGAGGGGCTTTTTGGGGCCCGGCTCCTCAAATGGAATTAAATAGTATGTACACATCCGTGGACCATATAAGTACCTAGTAACCGGTGTGTGGGCCACTTTACTTTGGACCCCTCCCCAGAAAAAAATAAAAATTCAATAATATGCCTATATAATGTGTTTGTGTACATGTGTGTATGTCGTATGTATGTATGTGTGTGTGTGTGTGTGTTGCAATGAGTGTATAAAATATATTTAATTTGAATGTATAATATAGTGGTTATTACCCGTGTACGCATAAATATTGTTTAAACGGTATTAATTTTTACAGACAATAAAGACAACAATAAATCAAAATAGCTGAGGAAAATCGTAAATAGGTACAGTACATATAGTTTAGAATTAAAGCCTGTTTCTAGACTCCCGTAGGCGAATTAAAACAAAAATAACAAAATTCAAGGCACGTCAATAAAATATCATAATAATATATTCTGGTTTCGTTCAGAGGGGCTAAGATTCTTAGAAAAACAAAGCAGCTTAGGTTTACACACGTGTAATGCCGATCGGTCATAAATGACGTACGTTCAATATGCATAAAAGTATAATAGTATTATACTATTATTTTACAAATATTAACAACTCCGTTGCCCGTTGGAGTAAAATATATTATATTATAATATATATAGTGTTCTATACCATTACAATATTGAATAGAGTATAGGTATATTATATTTTATTGTATCTCTAATAGTGATATTGATTGACTAGTGTTTTTTAATTTACAATAATTATAATCGTAATAATAATAATAATAGTAGTAATAATATAATGTTATTCGATTATGACAACACAATATCTAATTACAGACGAAATGTACATTACACATAATACGTAATATTATATGTTAACAGTGAACGTTTAAAACTATAACCAAAAAAAAAAAACAACTTATAATTAATGCAAAATCCTTTGGTATATATAAAATTATGTTTTACTTAGAGAGACAAGTGAGAATCCGGGGACACGGAGAGGAGGAAAAAGAGGATGGGGAGGACGAGGAGACGCAAGGATGATTTTTTAGAAAAATTGTTTTGTTTTTTCCGTGAACAGATCAGATCAGATACTGCGTTGAACATAATTGCCGGGAAAAGTGCCGAAGCATCCTGTCCGCTTACTCGATCCCACGTACCACCCGTCGTCGCATTTTTCCATCACGAACACTACGTCGCCTTCTCTAAGTTCCAATTCGTCACTGTTCTGTGGCTTATAATTGTATAATGCCCTATAACTGTCAACAACTTGAGTGATAAATCGCTCATTTCGTAATATTATAATATATTGTAATGTCGTATTGGTCGCAAATGCACGTTGGTCGCAATATTCATATTATATATATTTCATGTTTAATTCGTTATTAAGCAGTATAATAGTTTTTAATTTTATTCAACCTGAATATGATTTTATAATTATGTACATGCTGCCGTAGAAAACCTACACGCGTGGTCATGTATACGTATGTCGTCGTTTTTTGTAGTAAAAAATGTATTTAATTAATGTAAAAACTGTTATTGAAGTAAACGCACATTTTGAATATGCAATCTAGTGCGATAACAGTGAGATAAATATATTTTATAAGCATAAAATAATGAAATACACGTATAACATTCAGTGAGATAAATCGTTATATCGCATGTACTATATTTTGTGCACGAGTGACCTGCGTTTTTATTGTATGATCTCGCCACCGATGTATATAAAAATGCGAGAGCAGCTCATAGAATCAGTCAGACCTTGTCTAGCACCCCGCTTGTATAGAACGTAATATGTAATAATATAATTTACTTATTCTGTGTACCTTTAACTAAGTTTTCTGTAACCCAATATCTGCGATTAATTAACTGTACACTCACATGAGTGCAAAACAATTCGGCTGTAGATTCTACTGATTATTTATGTCAGTTCACGTGCGCGTATGTATTTTCATTGATAACAATATGATAGTGATTTTCTTACAATACGGAAAATACGATTTTCAGCATTATTAAAGTAAAATGTTTTCTACAACAGTTTTATATAATTATAGATAACATTGAAGTTTTTTTAGACAGAAGTATCTACATGATTAGATATCATAAAAAGTATAAAATTTAAATCAAAATATTGTTTCTGACTAGTTTCAGTATTTAATAATTAAACTACCTCCATATTATTTAACCGTGCCATAATTGCAACGATTATAAGGTGCATTCCCTTTCATCGCCTGTCGTAAACAACAATAAATTCTATGATAGTTTACCGCATATATTTTATACAATATATATTATTTATTATTTTATAACTGTAAAAATATTATTTATAAAAATAAAAAAACTAACGTACCTAACTAAGTAACATGGTGTGATAATTGATTAATACTTTTTATACATGAATGATAATATTTTTAAAATAAGTAAATCAATAAGATATTAAACTGTGCACCTATATATTATAGTATGGACAATGTATTCGTTTACTTACGGCATGGGTTCTGAATGTACGTCTACGTGTAGAGTTTCGTTCATGTTATTTGTTTGTTTCTTCGTTTGGGTCCCGGAACTTCTTGTCGGCTACAATCAATATCATCGACAATAAGTTTCCCTAACTTCATAAAGTAAAACAAGTTTTTTTTGGTTTAGACGATTTGATACCATAGAAGAATAGCTATCCGGCTGGTACATGTGCTGCGTCTTCGGCGGATTACTTGTAATGAGAGAATGCGATGCCGGAGACGCCACGGGCTTGAACGACTCGCTTGTCGACGAATCTGAAAACAAAACCAACCAAATCCGTTTTAGATCGGAACAGTAATATACTAATATGACGGGTACTCGACGGACCGATAAGTATCGGAATTATCGATTGGGCAAACGCATAATTAATTATGTGCAAATAATAATGATAGGTAGTAATTTTAATTACTCGAATGATCGCCTGGTTCCACTAAGACTGTGACGTAAGATATAGGGAATATTCCTTTTTTGCTTCCGATTCTGCCTTCGTACCAGTTGTTGTCAACACGCCTAGTCAGAACAACCAGTTCCCCTGAAAACAAAAATAATACATACATATACGTCATATTATAACATACTATTCAATTTAAATAATGCTTATGTCTGTCTTGACGAATTAATTCCAAATCGAGTAAGGAGTGGTTCATACAACGAACGCGACTTGCAGTGTTCAGCGTTCATTGAACGTTAAACGTCATCGTAATCGCCCGTCACCGACGAATGTTATTTGCTCGTGATTCATTATTTGATATTATTATTTTTATTATTAAAATTTATTACCATCGAGTATAAATGTTTTAATAGCGTTTTTTATTTTTACCTTTGACTAGCGACAATTCCATATTAGTCTGTGCCATAAAATTGAATTTCGCTCTTGCCTGGCCCTCGTAAGGTCTGTGCGGCGTTGTCCTGATGCCATCGTACGGAATTACCTGCCAAAAATATAAAATGTTACACTCTTGTGCATTTTGGTTGCTGCGTGAGCTCTGTGGACCGGAAAACGGAATTTTCGAACGACATAATACGCACCTCGACATAGTTGAAAGGGAACAATCCGACCATGGCGTTGTGCTCCCCCTCGTACCAATTCTTGTCGATCTGCTTCCGGACGAATATGATGTCACCTTTCCGGAACGACAGTTCTCTATACACAATCGCACAGAAATTAAAATATAAACGACATACTATACCAATATATATATGATAAATTATAATATATTTATGTCCGGTTATACAAAGCTATAGGATCAATGCGGTTGGATATATACTATTGTGAACGTTTCATTACCTGGACGTTTGGCCAACAAAATTGTATAAAGCTCTTGCTACGAGTTTTGGTTCCGGAGTACGACTTCTTGGCGGCTGTGGACTTTCGTCTACAAAGTCGTCGTAGCGGTTTAAGGGGATAGGTGATTTTTGAGAAGGCCTAAAAAATGTCATCATTTTTAAAAAATTTTACTTAGATATTATAGTTGTGTTTTGCCACTAACAATAAGTTGTCAGCGTGTCTCCTATTCGACATGTCTTGAAGTTCTTGTAGGTACTTTCTCCGTCTTTCCTCTTGATAAATCCTTCTCATAGCTTCTGCCTGCTTGTTAGCTAACTCTTCTTCTGACCATTCTTCTTTAATTTCATTCCGAACCGGACGACGATACTGTAGTGTCACCTCCGACTCCGCATATTTGTGCGGAGAATCTAAAAGTATATTGTCAGCTTTATTTAAAACGATATAAAGCGTTAATGTTCAACTAAAATGTTATACTAGTAGGTACTTCTTTAAACACCATAGTAGGCACTGCATTTTCAGTGAAGCCCGATAATGCACAAATATTTTGTTGCAACTAAAAGTCGGTTATTGCATACACAGTCCCCTCTATATATGTCAGTTAAAATTAGGAATTGAATACCATAGGGAACGAACGAATAGCTGCAGTACTGAACAATGAAAAGAACGATGACAAAATCAACAATGAACACAATGAGTTGCGTGCGGTAATTTTCATTCTTTGCTTCCCTTCACTCGCCAACCCTAACATTTATAGTTGCCAGTTTGTATTATCAAAAATATGCCAACGTTTCGATAAAACCATAATGTGACAAAAAAAAAAGTATCTTTTCATAGTCCTACGTTGTTTTTGTTGTATTTTTTTCCAGCAACATCGTATATATAGTATTAAAAGACCTTCAGTCTAGAGAATATTCGAACACGTGCTACCAGTGAATGGAAGATCAATGTAACACGGGTCGTTAAACACGTCCAAACGGCAATATAATTATCGGTTTCTCTTCTTTTGACAATAGGCTCTAGCGAAACATGTTTCATTTTTTTCATTTACGTGAAAGCTACGCAACTAGAAAAAAATTGATTTGTTTGACTTATATTTTCTGCAATACTCTTCGTTAGATTTTAGATCAAAATTAAAAATAGACACGGTTTCTGCAGGTCAAAATAGCCAGATGTCAGTATAATATACTATATACACCGGACGGAGCGCTGCATGTAAAATATTGGGCAATCAGATATAAAAATTACTATAAATTATAATCATGATTGACGTGGTATTACGTCACTACATTTACTATTAAGTATATTATTTTCTAAGGTATAAAGTTTATTGATTTTTTTTATGATGAATAATTTGTGATCGGAGGGAAAAATGTTTTGAATAATTGGATAATTAATATTATGCAAGTTCGCGATTGCTTATCACGATACTTTCTCTATTGTCAAATTAATAATTTACATAGATCAAATTGAAAGTGATACATTCGATTGGAAATCCATAAAATTAGCTGTCATCGGAAAGATTTCTTTTATTAGTTAACATTATAGTAAATACCTCCTATGTAAGCAAAGATTAAACTAAAACGGAGAAAATTCCCCAAAGAAAAAAAAAGTAAATGTAGTTAAGAAAGTTGCATACTTCACGAAGATCTAGCAAAATATTTCACAGTCTTGTGTTCGTACAATGGAAAACCGAAAGCAAATTTAGAAGCCGTTCTAAAAATATTGGTATGTCGAAACGAAATTGATTTTATGTTGTTTTTTTTAACCCCGAGTGTATATTATACGTTTAAGAGCTGCAGTCGGTCGTTTCCTTTGATCGACCAGCTGCTACTGATTAAACAAGACCACACTTTTTCCATTATTCACACGGACATTGACAATTTACTGCGTACATGCGCACTTAAACATGTTGCTTGTAATTTATAATATAACGCGTTTGTGAGCGCGAGGCTCGTAAAAGTAGACCTACAGGTTTTTTTATTTTATTTTACGAGGCAATTCTTTATTTCCCGGGGACCTTCGGAAACCTAATTTTACTATCGAAAGGGTTGAGTTAAAGACACAAACAAAGCGGAGATAGGGTTGAAAGTGCACTATATAATCTAATTTAATATCGGCGCCTGGACGCGTGACCTTAAGACGGGAAAAGGGTTGGTGTGGCGATATTGAGCATAGCGAGGAGGAGGGGGGGTATTATGTGATGGTATATACCGTATATATACGGCTGAAGTTTTTTTTCTCGTGGGCGGAACAAAACTGTTTGACCTATAATGTCCTCGAGCTTGTATTTCTATCTAGAAACAATATTAAATATGTATTTACCAGGCGCGTTTAAATATACCTGCGGTTAAACTATTCACGATTGTATTTCATAATATCGTGGAGAGCGCAGATGTATAACTTGGATAGTAAATATTCCGGCTTTATTATACAGACAAAACATATTAAGCGGACAAGCGCCCGAATGTTAGCGGTTCGGATACGTTATAGATTATATCTAATTTTTTAATGAAACGGAAAATTATCATAGATGAAATCAACCGTGGAAAAAATGATGTTCAAGGTAAATGGTTTGTGACTCGACAAATATATAGTATTTCATATTATTTTTTTTAAATGTATTTGCACACGGAAAAAAGTACTCCTGTCCATTATATACGGCTACATAGTATGTATGTTAAAATAATTTATTTATACTATATGATTGCAACATGGAAATACATAGAAAACACTATTATTATTTTAGTTTATGTACAATCATAATAATAATAATAGGGATAACAGGCAACTCTATTAAAAGTTTACCTATTCTATTGGTATTTTGTAAGCACGTCTGCTGTTCAAGTGGGTGGGTGTCTAAGTTTTTTATTTTTGATACACTGTGCCGGATGAAGTGCTTTTTTATCACTGTAAAACATTTTTGCTCTGCGAATAGAAATACTTTATAATATGAGTTCTTGTGGTAAATTGATGCATTATTATGATTTATGATCTTTGTTTTGTGCATGATATAATACACAGCGAAAATACGTTTAAATGGATATGGATACGTCATAAATGACTATCTATATAACAATACATTTTGGCACTGGAAATGTGTACGATCTACAGACTTCTATAGGTTTTTTGATCTGTATCTTTTCTCCACACAATTTTTTTGAACTAGGTATATTATGCTATGAAGTTTTTAATTATTATAATTTAGTATAAAGTTTGATACTGACATAATATCGACTTCCTATTGAGGATCATTACATGTACAGTACATGAATATCTACGATGATCGATATAATGTAGGTAGAAATTTACAGCAAATTAAGCATAATATTGTATAATACTATGGCATACCTAATTTTTCTTAATTTAGTGGTCATGGAATTACGGAATTTGTAAATTCAGAGTTTAATTTAATAATTGTGAAGGTAATTGCATGTTTTTTTATGAGTTAACATGAATCTTTGAAATTAACTATGGAATCATCTTAAAATCAAATTTGACGTTTCTAAGGCATCAAAGATGTCATAAATATGAGGTAAGAACATTATACAGCTTTATAAACTTAAATACAAATATCTAATTCAACAAAAAACATATAGTAGATCACACACTTCGCCAAAAACTGACAGTGAAACACTCACTCTACCACAACCTATTTGAAATTGAATCGATTAAGTATAAAAACATATTATACAGTTCATCACATATTACACATATACAAATATATATTTATATTGTGCTCCATCACTTTTGGATATTTTCAAAAAATACAAAAGAAACCACGGTTGTAATAAATTATTTTAAATTACGCAAATAAAAATAGTGAATGTTTTAACTACTTTTTTGTGAAATTATTGTATACACTTTTAATTTCAAATAAATGTATGTTTTAATATTTTATCTGCTAGTGTAAGTAATATGGTAATATAGTATATAAAGGAAGGTACACGATATCATTGCAAGCATTTGCAAAACTGTGGTTATGAATAATTTTCAGCCATGTCGTTACTCGTATTTCGTAGTAAAAATGGTATTTAAAATAATATATATTTAATTAGTCTTTAAAACATACATAATACGGACTGTGAACAAATTATTCCAATGAATGAACATCCATTATTATAACCGATATAGTATATACAGCATATATAATATCAGTAATTGCACTGTCTTGGTCATTATGCCAGTCTATACATTACATATTGACCTCCAAAACCATTTAAGTTCTGTCCTTGCTTTCGTGTAAAAACTTTAAGCTAATTTACACTATTATTCATCTGTAAATTAGCTCTATTGCGATTGCGAATAGTAGGTAGGTACCAAATTAGTACTTACAGTCACCGTTGACGACGATCCTCCTTAAACTGACGGTTCTAGCTGGCAACAAGAGCGGTTTTTTCATGTCATCGCCAGCCATAACACCCAAAACTCGAATTTATTACAACGGGATTATCGTACGGAGGGTGGCGGCGATAACTATGTACACGCATTGACCCAACTCAACCCATGACCGGACGAACGACGACAAACACCATCCGAAGCCGAATATACACTACCACATGTTCGGCGGCAAGACAATCGGAATGGGACAGACCGAGCTACAGGCGATCGCAGCGCTCTCGTCTGGTGGTTGCCGTTTGTAGTTTGTGTATTATGATCGGGGTCAATAACGTGGAAGAATGTCACAATAATATATTCACTCACCCGTGGTATAATATAATAATATATAGGTACAGGAATTTGGGTGTTTTGAATCCTATCTGGATTTTACTATAGTAGCCTTGAACCTCTCCAAGGCTAATTCATCTGCGTTAATGGTTTGTTTTTTATAACGTGCCGCAAAACGCACCGTAGGTACTTACTTCTCAATACTACTTTCGATTTCTTCAAGAGTTTGTTTAATTAACTTGGTCGCATGTAATGTAACTGTCGGCAAGACTCAACATGAATGGTCGTTACAATTATATAAATATAATTTAAATGTACGGTAATAATATTGTATTAGTTAATATATGCAGACGACTTTCTGAACTGAATTAACCGGAGAGCGGGTATTTAGAGTTGGTATCTGGTATACACTATACAGTATATCTACGATCTACCTATTATTGTATAAGCGTTGGGTGGTCTTTGTATTACATAAAATAATCATCACCTATTCTGTTATTTTACTATATGAACGCTATTTTACGTTAGACAATTTTAACCAACTATAAGTCTATAACAAAAAATAAAATAATAATTATCGTGTTAATGATGAAACGATAGAGCAAGAAAGTATTTTGTCGAGTCACGTAACAGAAAGAGTCTAAAATATAAACCATACCTACATGTTACATTCGAAGTGCCTGTAATTAATTAGTCGGACTTATGTTCGTTTTTATTTAAAATTCAAGTTTTAAACTTACGTTTTTACTATAAAATGTATGTGCATTTTGAAGATTATTGTGGATAGTTTTAAAAATTTGCACCTTTAAATTTAACGATCGATGGTTTCGGTGGTAATGTTGGCTGTTGGGTCCATACACCATTCCAAGATGGCGTCCACCTATACTTGGGCTTATGAGCTTCTGGATTGTATGGTTGGCTTAAAAACCCATCATGTTTTGAATGTTTTAGAATAGAAGGATGATGATGTTTTCTACTGTATCTGACTGGTGATGCAGATTTAGGTCTCGTTTTTGGTTTGGTAAAAGGTTCTGGTTCCGGATATCTGTGTGCCATCCAATTACAGTCTAAAAATGGTATCATTTTCCTTGCTTCTCTCAAGTCTGGAGTAGAAGTATAAAATTGGCCCAACATAAATGCTCTATTTCTATTTTCAAACATGATCCTTATTCTTTCTACTTCGCCCTTAGTTAACTTGTCTTGAAGACTGGCCAGTTTACTAATTACATTTATACGGGGCATGAGTCTATTGTCTGGTCTCAACGGACATTTAGGCACTGGGCTTTTGCACCGTTCGTACTTGGTTTTCAGATTTTGCACATCACCATACTCATGATATCTAATAATATTCCTGTTAAGTTCGGGATCACTCTTATATCTTTTTAAAGTATTTGATTCGATTGGAGTATGCAAAAATCTAAGATCATCGAAGCTTTCAAATTTTCTACGGAGCTTTCTTACAGCTCCATTTTTAATTAATTTTGAATATTCGTAACAGCGATCTGGTGACGGAGATAATACTCTTCGCATACATTCTCTTTCTCCAAAAATACATTTCATGGATGAAAAACTTTGAGATGAATGTAAATTTGTTTTCTTTGTTCCAAGGTGTATAACTGTAGACGCAGATGAGCTGGATTCACTAACATTTGTGCCATTGGCCCAGTCAGAAATCATTTTTTTCTTGTCTTCGTTATCAGCCAAAACCAATAAATAATTTTTTTCGTAATTCTTTGCAACAGATTCTTCTTCAGATACGTCTATTGAGTAACAAGTTCTTGGTGAAACACTTTCAGAAATATTACTTTTACATTTTACAGCAGCAACAGCTCCTAAGGTTTCTTTTGGTATTACTACATTGCTTGAATGTTTTTTTTGTTTTTTTTCCAACACTTCATTACTTATATTTTTTGAAATTTTTTTTTTTTCATTTTCACTTAAACATACTGATCCAATCGAATCAGCTTTTCTGAGGCCTTCTTCTCTATCTTTTTTTCTAGCTGGTCCCATGGAACTTGACCTTATATACAACGATGAACTGATTTCAGATCTTTTTACCCTGCCATTTACTTCAATTTCATAATCGTTTTTTAATTTATTTGTTTGTATAGCTCTTGGTACCCTTTCTCCTTTCAGGTCAGATATTGTACTGTAGACTTCATTAAGTTGTGTCTTGAGTCGATTCAATTGTTCCATAGAAAGACTGCTCCATATGCGGCAACCAATATTAGAAGGACTTCTAGAACTCGATCGTCTAGGTATGGATGTATAATTTTTTTCCCTCTCTTCTGATACAGGACGACCTCTTTTTGATGACGTAATATGTTTTAATGATTCAGCCACATCTTGCACTGAAGTTCCTCTCCAAAGTGGTCTGTAAACATTTACTTCTGGTTTACGATAAGTATCATTCCCTATAGCATGGAATTTTCGTTTCAAATCAATTACCGAAGTTTCTTTATTTCTCAAGCCACGATCTAAATTCCCTTTCCAACGTATTTCCTCAGGATCTTTCGTCTTGTATAGCACATCTTTTGACTTCTGGACATCTTCAAGTTTTGCATGTAATGATTTTATTTCAGTTTCAGCTCTTTCCTTGACTCTAATAGTCTTCCACTTATCATAATCAACCAAATCTCCGCGTGTTCTAACTTTATTACTCGCCTTTTCTGCAGTTTTTTCTAATTCTCCCAATCTTTCTAAACTACAATAAAAATTATGCAACTCTTTAAAGCGTTCGGATTTCTTACTTGAGTGTCTTAGCTCTCTCACATAGGTTTGGTATTCATAATCAACTGCAGCATTTTTCACTCTCTCCATAGGTTCTTCAGCACTTTTAGATCTTTGACATCGGCGAATACCAGTTACACTTTCAATTAATTTCACCGGTGCTTGGAAACTTTTTATGCGACGAGAAGATGGAGACCGTGAAGGTGGTTCACTGGCACTTCTGCCTTTTAAAAAATCAACACTTTCATCTCCAAATTGATCCCATTCAGTTACACCGGAGGACTGATATTTATCAAAAGATTTAAATTTAGATTCAGACACAGGCTTTTTATTTGATAAATATGTGTCTATTTTGCTTCCTTTACGACATACATTAGATTTTTCTTTATTCTTGATTGGACTTATTTTAGGAATTTGTTTTGTTTTTTCATCAGTTAAAAGCAATTGTTGAAAAAATTCTTCTCCAAATTGATTTTGTTTTTCATTATCTTTAACAACTTTTTCACTTTTTAAACTCGATTTCACTGTAGTTTTGACCATTTCAATTTTTTTACTTTGCCGTTTTCCATTATTCGTTTTTACTAAATTACTTTTAAGAACCTTATCTTTCGAAATTGTTTTCTGAGAAATTTTAGAAACGGGGATGCTTTTAGCTGGAGTTGACAATAATTTTGTTTTCTTAGGTAACGATGATTCTGACGAATTTGTTGATGAAGTACTGGACCTTGGGAGCACTTTTCCTTTAGTTGATACTGCAACTGTAACTTTGGAAGGTTTGTCTTTTTCCTTCTTAAAGTCATTAGTGTACATTTTTGTGGAACTTTTTAAACTTGAGCTTTTTGATCTTTTCTCTGTTTCAGGTTTTGATTTACGAATTTTTAGTTCGACACTAGATTCTATGTCAACCCCTTTTGTCCATCGTTCAAGTCTAGAATTTTTACGAGATGATTCTCGTCGAGGAGGTGTTGGAGGTGATCCAGTAGAACTAGCAGATGATTTTGCGGTTCTCTTAAAGTTTGAAAATACTGGGTAACAAGTGACTTCCTTCCAAGGGTGATGAATTACTTCATTATCGAATTTCATAATTTGGATTTTAGTTAAATGAGACGTGATTGGCAAATACTCCAACTCCAAATCTACACATCAAATTTGATTATTTAAAACTATTATCCAGATGCTTCATGTTTGTGCAGTTCAAGGCAGTCAGGTAGATAATAGCTATTTGTAAGCCCGTCATAAAATATTGCATTGCACCTATTATAATATTTCAGTGCTTCCATTAATTTTCACAGCATTTCCCATAAAAGTAGATGGTGCGTCAATTTATTTAGTGCTTCCAAAATTGTTTTTGTTACGTTCATTACTTATATACCTATATGGCTATATACATATATATGTATGCAAATAAGTGGTAGGTGAATTTTTTATTTTAATTGAAGAAATCTTTTAAATATTAAAAGTGTAAATTAATTTATTACCAATACTTTATTTTTAAAAGTGCATACAATTTCCACTATCTTAGCATAATTATTTTGAGATCCATGTTTTTAACTTTGAGCGTACCTATTATTTTTTACGGTGTTCATTTTTTGTTAACATTAGTGTGCTATTAATTAGTTTATGATTGTGTAATATTTAGTTTCTAAGGTTATTAGTTATTACCTTATAAGTAGTGATAACCTAGCACCAACGCATTATTATTTATTATGTGGTATACCTTCTGCCTTTAGTAATTAATGTATCTATAGTTAGAAATAAAATAATAATAACTATGATAACTCTGAGAATATTTTTAGGGAATTTTTGAAATTATGTTACTTAAAAACCAGATTTGCAACTATATAAAGTTGTATTTTTTCATTTACCCACATAAAAAAAAAATCAAAATTTCAAAACCAAACTTCATACATAACACGAATACATGAAATACACAAATAACTCCCAATAAAAATATTCCAAAATAATACACAGAATCAATGATTTTAGAATTTAAATACAAATTTTAACTATTCATCCGCAGAATTAAAATTAAAATTTGTATTTATATGTACTATCATTGAATCTACGGCGGCCTTTTTTCTTAAACGAAATGTCATTACGTTGATAGATATTTGCGTAGTTAGTTAATAGTTTATTAATGTGCATATTGGTGTTCATAGAGTGGCTTAAACTTATTTTATGACAACATATTAATCTAACCTTTTGGTCGTTCAGGAAAAGTTTTTCGTAAGCCTTGGAATGGTACTTCTCCGCCATTTTGAATTACTTTATATGCAGTTTTTTGTTCAGTTGGTGAAAGACATTGAGATTGATTTTCTTGCCTTTTAAATATTAATGTAGAATCGCTATCATACCCAGATTCTTTAAAGGCTCTATAAATATAACCGTTAATTAATATGCATTAATTAATAATAAATTATATTCATTTTCTCACTGAGCCAAATTTGATTTTTTTGACGATGACCGATTTTGAGGAGGAGGAATTTTATGTTCGGAATTCTGAAAATTGAAAGAAATATTTACATGCTCACGTTAATGCAAAATGAATCAGTGTTTGACTCACTCCTTCAAAAGTATTCATAACCTCGTCCCACCACTGTTTCGTTTCCTTCTCGGCTATCGAAGAATGTCCTGGTTCATAGTTTTCAATTGGTCTTGGCTGGTTCTTGTATCTGTCTTGTCCACTTTTTACAGGGGATACTCTTCAAACATATTTACATTAAAAATATACAGTCGAAATCATAACAGATCATGCTTACGATCTTCTCATGGAAACGTTCCTCGTGTATTCACCGTCTAAATTTTGAAACAGTCTGTTTTCGGCGAAATCTGATTCATATCCTTTTTCCGGTTCCGATGAATATCCGTCACCTTTTCTGGCTTTAGGTCCTAGAAATTCAAATTTACATTATTAATATAAAAACACTCATGAACAATACAAATCCTAAAATAACTAATAAGTATACAATAAATGTTACAAACAAATTGTATGAATATATAACCTGTATATTTGTTTTAATAAATCATTATTAACACTATACCATATGGTTAATAATACACGAACTTTTACAATTAAATGCAACAACGATGATGGTAGTTTATTAATATGTCATATTAGTATTTGTATACCTGCACTATACATTTTCTTAAGTTAGTTTAAGTATCTATTTTAAATCTAAGTAAGCTATAATAGTTAAACAAAAAGTAGTATTTTATCATTTCATTAAACATTTTAAATAGCTACATAAGAAAATCATATTTAAACATTAAACAGATTGTAATTCTGATGCAACTATAAATGATTTTAAAAACTAAGAATCTTGTTAATCATAAGTCAAGCTAAGCATTTTTCAATTTAGTCTTCTACTGAGTATAAAACTGTAAATGTATAGATTTATCACCTCGCGATAATGTTTTGTATCGTACTGTTACCCCGTCATCTGTAATATTGTCAACTTACGGTTATAATAATATTTAACAATTAAATTAAATGTTTTTTTTTTTAAACTAAAACTATAAGTAATAATTAATTTTAATTATTTATAAAATTAATTTTAAAAATGAAATTAAAATACATTTTTCATAATGTACGTATTATTAAAAATCTAAATTTATACTTTCAATATTAAATACTTGCCATCGGATTGAAACTTATGTAAAGACTCATACATCTGTTTGTACCATTTTGGTTGATTTGGTTCTTTGATTTCCTAAAAAAATGTAACAAATAATTTATTAATTAGATATGAACAATATTAATGGATATTATTTAATGGTTTTGGATGGTATAAATATAGTGTTTAATATGCAGTTAAATGTTTGATCTTATAATTTGTTTCCCTTCTTATGCAATAAAATATAAAGTATAAATTTTTTTTATTGACATTTAATAAATATTCTAATTGGCTAATGGCTTATAATCCTACATAAATGATAGTATAGTATATGTAAGAGGAATAGCGAATGTTTAAATTATTAAAAACTTTTTTAAAAATCTAAATAAATACGGAATAAAGTAGAGATTTGTTTAATTACTTAGAGAAGTCAAATTAACAATTTAATATTGCATGTTTTTTGCATATTTGTTCAATTTTTACTGGCTTGATCATATCTTTACATGCGTCAAGTTTATTTTTGGTTTCTCGTTATATTTTATGTCAAATATTTTTTATACTTTATTAGTTTCTACTTTTGAACATATATGTATATTTTAGTCAGATTAGCTAACAGTTCACAAAGTTTAATTTTAAAATGCTGTTTTAAATTTTTAATAAACAAAATAAAGTTTGAATTAACTAGTTTATTAAATTTAAATAAAATAAAACTTACAAGATTGAATGAATAACTAATTAATTTTTATTGATGCATATTTTCAATAAATTCTAGCATATTTTTATACTTTATAGTGCATAAGTGCGTACTTATTTTTAGATTTTTTAGAGCATAAATATTTACTACCTACTTACTTATTAATAATTAACATTTTTTTAATTTCAAATTAGACATAACAAAATAATAATTTGTATAGGATCAGATTTACTTTCCAAACTAATTTCCAATAGATATAATATCGGTGCACAAGAAGAGTGACACAACTCAAAAATCGCCATTTTCAAGATTACTATGACAATTTATACTAAAATTCCTTTGTTTTTATGTGCAAGAAAGACATTTTTAATAATTCTAAAAATGACCTCAGGATAGTTGTTGAGTCGTTCTTCTCTTATCTCATAATCACTAGTTTATTATTATAAAGTGTGTCATAAATGTAATTGTGTTCAGACAGTCAAAATGTAAACACCATTCATTTTTGATTAAAGTGACACAAATTAAAATGTATCAGTTTTATTGAAAATAATTAAAAACATTATTTTCAACAGGGGCACAAGTCAAATGATAGGACATTATTGTTTTGACACTTTTTTTAACAATAAAGTGTTGTTTTCTATCAATTAATAAAACAATTGTTGTTGTTATATTCATTTACTAACCATATAAGTACTGTAGATGTTATGATGAAATATTAATATATTGCATATATATATTGGATTTAGGAAGAACGCCATAACTCAAAGGATTGGTTTATCATTTTTGGAGGTTATTCTAAATGTTATCCACACGAACTTATTATTTTTTAGAATGTGAAGTAAGCACTTATGTTAATTTTAAAAATCTGAGATCATAACGATGAGCATTGCAAGAAATAAGAATCCTTTAAGCGACGGTACCGGAAAATCTACTTTTTTGAGTTGGGTCATTCTTGCATAAAGTCTCGATCTATATGGCCCTTTTATTATCTTTGAAACTATGTATAGTAGACACTAATTAAAATTTAACACACCGATCTTAATACAATTGGTACTCCTTCTTTGGTTGTCGGGCCGATGCCTTCATACTTTTTTTGACTGATTTCGACCATTTTTTTTTGCTTTTTCTCATCCGATTGCAGACTGTCATATTCGCGCCTTGAAGCATATTCTAAACATACATCAAAAAAATCAATTATGAAATCGAATAACAATATTGAACTTGTATTTTTACGAATTAAGGTAATGAACATTTATACAATTTTAGAACTAAAAAAACATACATGCTGTGTATTTAAGTAGGTACAGTGCACTTTTCAACGTTTGCACGATAAACGGGTCTTATCTTAATAACTTAATCACGTGTCCATACGACTGATAAATGTTTTGAATTATTCAGAGTTTCAATGTTATTCGAGTCACGAAGACACGAACACGTGCATGTTAAACATTTAGCATATGCATACTTTAGTAGTGTTAAAAACGTCGAACTTTTAAGTTTCAGAAATCTTAATATTATGATAATATACTCTTCATTTCTTACCCTCCACCCCATACATGTATAATCTCCATTAATATAAATAAATAGTATAATAACATTTATTATGATAATTTATTCTGCCTTTTATTATTATTATTTTTTTTTCATAATTTTACTTACTTATTTCTTGGGTTTCTACATTACGTTTTACAGTAGAACCTCTAGTTTTATTTTCTTTGTCCATACTATATTCTTCTGAGTTGAGGTATGCAGAGCCTTTTGGTAACTGTCCTTCTATAAATAAAAATATTAATAATTATTATCGTACAGGTTAACTTAACATAAATATTAAATATTATTCCACGATGCTCACGGCTAATGTAAAAAATGTAACTAATTATACGCATTCGTTCGTTACTTCATTACAATTATTTCTAAATACTTATTATATAATCAAATAGACAATTTTGTAATGACATACAATTATTGCACACTAACTATTCAGTAAAATTGATGTATGCATAAGAGTAGTGACTAGTGAAATACAAAACGATCAAGTATGTATAGTTAAATAAGCACTCATGAGTACCCGAGCTTAAATTCAAGTATAAAAATATCTTTACATACAGATTAATATTCGTAATATTATCTATTGTAAAATATTATAATTTAATTTAAAATATAAGTACTATGAAAGCTATTTAAATAATGAAAAGTATTATGTCCAATGTAGATAAATCTGTATAATTTTTTTACTCTTTTTTAATGCATTACTTAATCGTTATGACGAGTTGAATTAATTAAACCCTTTATATCGACGTTTGGATATTAATATAACATTCTTTTTTTAAAATATTTTCAACTTTCCAAAAAATATTTTTATGCATTAAATTCAATTTCACAGTCAATAACTGAAGTTTAATTTTAATCATATAGATATGACTAATTCACTGATACAATCTTCTAAGCCAGTCTTAGATCATATTGCATTATATCGTAGGTGTTGATTGAATAGTTGAATAAAAGAAAACAAAGAATAAAATTAAAATGGTAAGTAAAGGTAGCCAATAACAAATTACATTTATTAAACTGTTTTGAAAAGTTGTGCATCTTATGGGAGATTTGGTGTTCTAGTGATATTTCAAAAATGCAATTTATAATTAAAGTGATAATTTTTATTTGATAACAGTAAATAACGATAGGTACTTAATAATCACATGCTGTAGGTACTATACTATATAAAACGCCGCGTAGGTAACTATACAGTTACATTCTAACGTCATATTATAGACAGTAATAACATACAACAAAGTATTAAAACAAACAATATAATATGCATGTATATACTGTAAAGAACATAGATGAGCAGCTGACAGGTATTGTATGTAATATATATTACCATCGTAGTATCGTACATCGATGATCAAAATGATAATTTAATATGATTTATTACCTACCTATTTATATGCCTACCTAATTTTAGCTTTAACTATATCAAGAAATTGAACACAGTTACGTTGTAAAAATATTCTATAGGAAGCAGGACTTACTTATTAGAGGAGCTAGTGGGCTACTTGGGGGCTAACTTCTCTCAAATATAAAATTCCTCCCGACCCCCCTCCCTAAAAAAAAAATTAATTTTATTTAATAAAATGTATATTGTATATTATATGCATATTATGTAACAAAGCTTACAAATATAGATCCAAGGTTCAGCTCCTTTAAATAAGTTTATCGAGCTTCAATTTTAGACCTACTTGACACTTCTATCTATGAAGTAGCTGTAGTAGCCTTGTATTTATATATTATTTATTTATATATATTTATATTATAATGTAAGATAGGTTTTTAAAAAAAAGTCACACACATTTGTTAGTGATAAAGTATTATTATTAAAATATTAATTTAATATAGATGTTACATGTTATACCTCTTGCTTTCTGAAGGAGTGTAACGGTAGGGCTTTGAACTCTCGGAAGTCTCCTGTCCGTGCAATGAACATTTTCATCGCCTTCCACCAAAATTGTGATAAAGTTAAGTGCCGAGTGCAAGACAATAATGTTCAAAAAGAGAGTTAAAATATTTTATGATTCTTACCTTGCGTTTTCAATGGTAATGATGGTGGTGGAGGAGGTGGTAGTGGAGGGCTCAATACAGGTAAGTCAACCGGTGGTTTTGAAGGTACCTGTAAAATGTTGTATTTTTAAATTCATATCTTCATTGATTAATTAATCTAATATTAAAATTAATACTTTTTGAGTATCCACATTGATTATCTTTCGTGATAACGTTGGTGACTCGAACCTGACTGGCTTGTAAGACTTTCTCTCAGGTGTTGGACTGGAGTTGGGTGTCCATACTGGAGGTAGTTCGGTCCGCGGCTGTTTTTTTTCTATTTTTCTTGAGATATTCTCTAAGTCCAATGATTTATGCTTCAGCTCTGGTGACCAGACACCTGAACAAATACAACCATTGTTATTATCGGTATGATGAGGTCTTAGGGCCAACACCAACAATGAAATTAATTCTAATAAGTCACACACAATACACATGCTTTAGTTTTATAATTAACTATTCAACTATATAGAATTATTTCTTGTTAAATAAGATTATCCGGGTGCGCACGTTTACCATTTAAGGTATGATACATAATACTAAATTGTTTAACTAAAGTTACACTCAAAAAGTACTAACATTAAAACATATGGTTTTTTCGTACACGCTGAACTTGAATGATTGGGTCACAGCCCGCAGGTGTGTTTTAATTTGTATTTGTATTCTAAAATAATGTTGTTTTTTAAATATTTGTACATTGACGAATTTTAAAAAGTTGGTACATTGTGAATAGTCAGAAATGCAAATGATTTAAATTATAATTTATTATTAGTTTAGTTGTACAATATTGTATTAGTCGTAGGTAATAATATAATTAAGGGTAATTTTTAGGACAAAAAATGTTGTTATTCATAATAAATAAGATTAATGTAACTGTGTATAACTTAACTAGTTATTAAATTGATGGAATAGTATATCTAATACATTGTTTTTTGATTTTCTTATATATAAATACAATATATTCAACTGCTGGGTAAGTATAAAGTGAGTATTTTTTAATTTTTGTTTTACGCATTAGTTACCTATTAAGCCATTGAAATATTACTGTTTGAATTGGGAAACAATTAGAAGAGGGGAGTAAAAAATTTAAAAATTATGTTCATACCTATCTGAATATCTAAATATCTGGTTTATTTGGATATAATTAGAAGGGGTACTCATAAATATTTTCTAAAAAGAAGAGGAACTCCGTCCGTCCCACGTCCGTCCCTCATCAATTAAATTTATATAGTACACAATAAACATATACGATTTTAATTATTTTAAATATAAATGCAATATACACCTTGAGAAAATATCACAATAATTCTTGCATCAGTAGTATTATTTTAGATGTGGTATAATTGGTTTATTTACAAAAATATTTTCGAGTAAAGAAGCCATCGACTTACAAAACTTTCAGTATAATATTTATAGTTAAAATCAAAATCATGTTCATTACTTAATACAATTAATGTATCATCAATTATAATATAATATTATGAATTAGTGATACATAAATAGGTACATAACTAATTCAAAAATGTGAATAATTACACAGTTTTCGTTTAGAAAATCTTAAAAAGTGTTCAGTAACAATTGATAGTAACAATATGCATGATGCATAGCACATATAATAGTATGTATTGGTAGCCTGATAACATTTATACATTTTTATTTTTATTTTTCTTATAAAAACACCCACGCCACACATAGGTGCACGTTGCACATAATACTGTAATCTAGAGCCAAAAAGCGCACGAGGCGAAAAAAATGATTCACTCTCAGACGAATGGACAGATTAAAGACTGAAAAAAGAAACACATATTGGCAAATGGTCAAACTCGTCTGTGCCAGATGGTGAAGTATATTATATTAAAAACAAATATATAAACTTATAAGACGAGCCTATGCATAATAATGAAATAATATTAATTATTATCATATGAGATTTTTTTTATGTGTTTACTTTGTAATGAAGTCAAAAGGGATTTGGTAATGTCGTTTGGCCATCGAAAAAAAATCAATTTATATATATATATATATATAAACGGAAGTTGAAGTAACGAAATGTATTATTGATAGTTTGATTTTCTGGCACTGGTTTTGGATTTTGGCAATCAATCATGAACATTTTTTATAGTTTAATACGTATTTTATGTAATTTATTCTTGCAAAATTTGTCTTAATAAGAAAACTGAGGTAATAAAGAATACGACAGTGATATCTAAAATATTGCAATTATGTACTACAGAGTGAATCGTAAAAAACTCAATTCTTAATTAAATAGAAAACAGCTACTACTGGAATATAATATATTCGCATTAATATTTTAATTAACGAAAAACAATTATGTTTGAGTTATATTTGTAGAAAGTAGAAGTAAATGAATAACTAAATATAATAATTACCAATATATAATCATATACAATAATTATTGAAATGCTAAAATTATTCAATCGACAATCCCATTGAAAAATATCAACAAATGTTAAAATTTGAAATTATATTACGGTTAATAAAGTTATAAATAAAAATGACGTCGAAAATGCAATTTATTACATAAAACAATAATTTTTATTTTCTAAATTCCATTAAAGTTGGGCTCTATCCCGTTGAAAATTAGCATAACTCAACATTATGTTTTTTTTCATAAATAGAATAGGTACCTTAATAAAAATTCTTGTTAAAAATAAATGTAGAAAAGAATTTTAATGCAAATCGTACATAAAAAATAAAAAGAGTTGTTTGATTTATTTTAACAATAAATACAAATCATACATTTATTTAAAATGTATGAATACTACCATAATCGTTTTGTTGTAAGAATATATTTTGATATTAATTTTAAATTAATTTATTTTTATTGACAAGTAAAACGGCAAACGGTCTAGGCAAATTGACTTACACCATGCTATAAAAATGTTGAGATTTTATTGTACCTATTTTATGGCCTACGTTCTAAAAAATTAAAAAATTAAAATATATTTAGAATGAATATATAGCTTACGTGGTGACTCAGATATGTCTAAATAATTTAAAACCTCTATAAATAGGTCGATTTTCCATAGTAAATACTATTCATTTTAACGAAAAAAATACACTAGGTACCTATAAATTTAGGATACAATGAGTAATACCTATTTACTGTTTACTAGTTGCGGTGAATGAAATTCAAAATTCTAATCAAAGAACTAAATCCATGTCGACTAGATTAAAATATTTAAATTCAGTATCTACTATATTGTTTGTCTGTATCAAACAAAAATATTCAATAATAAAATATAAAAACTATTATTTGAACAATACCTACTTATTAAAATTATTATTAGAAAATAGAAACGATAATTATTCACAGTGAAACAAGAACCAAAAGTATCTGTTTGTTATTAAATAAATGTTGACGCAATAGTAGTTTTTTACAAATTTGCATTATAATTTGTTAAAACACCTTGTACGCCTATTCAAGTATAATATCTAATCAAAATAATAATTACACGGATATTCCTTAGAATAGATATCGAATTTATATAAACTTAATATTGGAATTAACTATTATAATCACAATATAATAGATGTTTAAAGCTTTAATTCAAATTATATTTGTCAGGTTGATTACTGATTGATTTTTTTCAATAATAAATTAAATCAATTATAAATAGCATACCTGCTTTTTTAGCGTCAGCTCTGAACTGTGGACTAATTTTGCTTTTATCTCGCATCATATAATCATTAATTCATATAAATTAACAAAAAATAATTTTTAAACACTTGATAATAGAGTGCAAAAAACACCGGAAACGAAACTCAACGGTATGCGACGAACGTTTTTGCCACGCGCTCGATTCGGCGTCGGTTTGAATAGTGTGCGCGTTACTGTTTTTTTTTAAATACCGCGGGAAATCTCCTGTTCGAGTATTGTGGGGTGGGAGTAAAAATGAACATAAAAATATACTGTATAAATAAAAATAATGAAAAAAAAATATTGGCTAATGATCTTTGAAACTCAACGGTGGCCGACTTTCAGGCGGCACCTGTTTTATTATTAGATTTACCGGAGGCTTAATGTAAAATTTTGTTTTTCGTTTATTTACATAATATTTATGTAACGTACACATACAAATATTTTTGGACAATATAGTCTAGTTGAATTCTATTAAAAATGATCTTTTAAAATTCGGCGTCAAATTGGTGATAAATGTAATATAGTACAGTACTCTAGCAGTCTATATATTATACAATTTAAACAACCAAAATATAACATTATTCATCATATTGACATACCTATATTTCTATGTTTGTATTCAGTATTTCAGTATAATATTTTTATGCTATAATTAATTATTATTCAGTTAGAAAACAGATACTTCTTTAAAATTAAGTATACATCATTTATCATAGTGTCTAGACCTAAAGAGCTTTTATTATTTTCCAGATTGAATTTATAAATAAATGCTTAATATATGTTATGATGGATAGGTATTCTTTTAATAAACGACGTAATTTAATAATTAATTTACAAATTCAAAATTGATTCTTAACGGAAATGTCCTGTCAATTGTAATAATAAAATAAATAAGCACCCATTTAAAAACTATTTCAGAATTAGTATTGCATATTAGTTATTATACATTTATACTCATAGTTCGCATTATAATAACATATATCTATATAAGTTGGTTACAAGCATAAAATATTAGTATAAGTGTGCACAACTGTACAAGTCATGCATCACAATAAAATATGATATTGTTGTTCAATTTAATTTTAATAATTTTTAGTTAATGATTATTGTTTATATTTTATTTACAAAAACTTTGCTGATCAGAATTTTTTGTTTACTGGATGATTATGCAACTGCATTTTATTATATAGGTACCTACCCAGTACCCATATTATTTTTAATAAGATATTTACAATTTTAACTATCAAACAATATTATTATTGTTATATTTCAGTTTTTTGTCATAATTGTTAATAGATATTGACGATATCGTATAGGTTATGTCTTATATAAACCTGCTGCAATATTTTTTGTCATACAGTACCACAAATATTTAGACAATTTACAAAACACAACCTATTTTACATTAAGTACTTATATACTCAATAATACATTATAATACAATAGATCATCAATAATGTCTTGCAAAATTTAATTTATGAACATTGATATATTTTATAGAAATTAATTAAAAATATATTTATTACTACGAATAGTCAATTATTCGATTTGTCATTATTGTGAATTAAAAATACTTAACGTTTATTTGGACCAATCACAAAACGCTACGAACTCATGCGCACAGACTCAATGCAAAACATTGTGCATGCATGTATAGCTTATACATTTATTAACCAACCTATATTTTTTCTAGTCAAAAATCCGCCAAAAACTTGATCGATTTCGTCAAGCAGTGAGCAATCAGATATCCTTCGTTTAGATATTTTGTTATTTGTCCTGACTAAATTTAAAAAAATCAAGTTTTAAACAAAATAATATAGGTATATTGTTGTTATATATTACTTTGATGCGATAGACGTACCTATATAATAATATAATATTCATATTTTTAATGTTTGAACTGAATGTATCGATTAACCATCACATTTAATGATATTTATTTTACGTAAAAGTTTAAACACTATATTGCCCATGTTTAAAAGTTGGTTTTGCTATTCCGCCGTATGCAGAAAAATCGTGTAAGGTTTCGTCTCACCTCTCTCTACTCAGTTTTAATTATAGAAACAGAATTTGGTCAGTCCAGTCGTCCGACGTGTCGTGTCGTATACCATTTATAAAAATAGTGCCACAAAGTTTGTGTGTGTGTGTGTGTGTGTGTGTGTCTGTGTGTATGTATGTATGTGTGTGTGTGTCTGTCTGTGTGTGTGTGTCTGTGCGTGAGTGAGAGAGGTGTTCGTGTGCATGTATACACGTCTTGAACAAATTGTATCGGCATCAACTGTTCACACAACTGACAACTATATGTCTATAGAAACAAAAATCACCGTAAGATGTTCAGAACGATGGACATTTGCAGCTTATTTTAGAAATTTCTTCTGCTGATTCGTATCGAAGCAACGTAATTAGACTTGGCCACACTGCAAAAACCGTGTTAGTAAAACAAAATAAAACAAAAACGTACACACACTCTCAATCCACTCGACTCACCATTCATGTGCACTTCTTCGACGCAAACTTCTTCTTCCGGGACAAGGTCCTCCAAGTGTTTTGGATAATATTCATCCTTCACTTCTATATGCACATCCGCCTCGACGCCCAACTTATCCAACCTCTCTCGAGCTTTGGTTACAAACTCTGCATCGATATCGTTTAATGATTGCAGGGTACCTGACGACAACGGTCTACTGGCCTTTGTTATCCTAATAACTTTATTTTGAAGTCTATTTTCTCTTTCTTTCACTTTTTCCATGTACTCTGCGTACATGAGTTCCCTCGTGTGGTTGTCGGGAAACGACAGCGTGTCCATAAACGTAGGCATTGATGACGGTCGATCGATGACTGATCGATTAAGTTGTTGCTCTTTTTGGATCACACCCAATAGTCTAGATCGTGTTTCTCGATACTTGCGCAAAGACACCAGACACTCGGCATCAGATAATGGTTCGTCACTAGTACCGCACATTCGACACGCTTCGTCGAAAACTTCGGAACTATACGACTTTGACGGCGACTGTGATTGAGATTTGTTATAACTTAAAATATCTACAGTGGGTGTTATATCTAGACGTGGTGACAAATTTGGACTCATTGTTCTATTGAGAAATTTTTTGTGCAGATCAATAATTTCAGATGTTTTAGAAATAGTGGACGGAGCGTGACACGATCTCGACTGACTAGGCGATAGACATAAAGACTTTGACGACTCGCCGTCAGAGAGTGTAAAACTTACCCAGTCGGTATCCACGTCGGCATCAGAAGCAATCGAAACACATCTAGAAGTTGTTTGTGATGATTGTATTTCTTCGTAATCATCGGTATCATCTTGAAGTAATCTAGCTATCTGTTTTAATTTATCGTTAATGGAAACTTTGTTTTGTCTACATGATTTTTGTTTATGGTCGTATATGTTACACTGTTTTATAGTACTATCGTCCGAAGACTCTCCATCGTGTTCCGTGTACTCTTGATTGTTATTAAAAACATTCTTTGGTAATTCATTATTTTTTTTCATGATCGATTTACGTGAAAGTTCGACTGAAGCAGAGGTATTAATGAATTGAGTTTTTGTATTTAAAATATCAATGTTGTTCACTTTTTTATCTTTACAATGAATTTCTATAGGATTTTTTTGAAAGTGTACATCTTCATAACACGATTCTATATCGAGTAAAGTATTTGTTATGAATTGGTTTTTTTTACTATTTTCATTTTCATTTACAATTATACTATTATTAATTATTTTTTCATGTTGTATTGGACTTTTGTTAACCTTTACATTTTCCGTAGTGAAATGGTTCTTATATTTTCCATTAATTAAATTATTTTTGTTTGAAATACTCTGTGATCCACAGTCGACATATACATTATTTTCTACATTACGCACATCTAATAACACGTTTTTTAACGGTTCAAGTGTTTCTAAATCAATTACACATTCGTTTTCAGTAGTAACGATATCTGCAAACCTGAGAATCTCCGACTCACTGACTAAAGACGGAGACTCTAATCTTTCGAGCTGGCATTCTGAAGCTATAACTTCACTTGCACTAACTTCTGAAATGATTTCTAATTCATGATTTTGTTCTTTGTCGACATTTGAATCCCAATCTTCAAGTACCTCTTTGAAGTTATTCACGTTTCTATTTTTTTCGGAACACTCCCAAGTTTCCTTTTTTGGATCTTCATCGCTTGCACTTGTTTCCTCTTTAATAACATCTAGGTGGCAAAAGTCTGGAATAATTTGACAATATTCTGGTACCGAAGGTGTAATTTTTTCAACTCTGACTACTACTTGAATTGGTAGACCAGCTTGTTGACGTGTTTTTAAGTCAGCTATTAAAAGCGCTTCATTTTGTTTGATCCATTCTAATTCACCAACTCGTGAATCTGAATTTGCTGGTACTATTTGTATTTTTGGACATTCCGTTATTTGCGTTAACTCTCGAGTGTGTTCAATTATTTTATCTGGTACAGTTTTCGGATGTTGATCATTTAATTTTTCGGGTGAGTCTGCGCGTTTCTTTTTCCTCCTACGTTTTCGTACTCTTTTACCTATAGGCAATATTATATATTTTGGGCTATCTATTTTTATATTTTTATGTTGAGCATTATGAGATTAATTTTATATTTAGTACTAATAAGTTATTTTATTATTTACTATACAACTATTAACTATATGTTTAAAATTAAATTATGTTAATTGTTTCGTTTTAAAAAGTATTTAACCAGTTAGGTATATTTAAATAAAATTAAAAATATACTTCCACTATTGAAGTTACTCGCATTCAATTCTTATGTGTATGGTGTTAGTATGTAATTATAATATAATATAAATAACATATTTGAAAATTTGTTTTTACTCACTTTTTTTATTCGGTGTTTCTGCTTCGGTCGGTTTTGGTCTTACACTTATATCCGTGCCTGCTTTAGCTTCTGCAACAATAATATTCCGAGGAGGTATTTTATAAAAATATTAGTATAGATCAACACAGCAAAATTAAAAAAATCATTCGTAATATATCCAACATACAATATAGGACTTTATTAAGCGGTTAGTGAGCTATGTTTGTTCAATGATGTTCAGCATCATCGACTGACTGTGGTAGATCCGCTGCGTGAGCACAGATTGGATAGGGCACACCCGCCGAATAGAGGAAGTAACATATAGCATCGAAAACCGGAGATGGGTTAACACACACGAACTCATTATTTACAAACTCACACACGTACAATAGTCATTAATTTATGTACGCGTGTTTTTGTTGGTAACACATGCGCACAATGAAAAGGATGACAGACGAATAGACACAGGTCAACGGAACTGTGCATATGGGGTGGTTAATATATGTATACGGTATACCTAATGCACATGTATTATATAGGATCAAATATCCTATTATTACAGATGTACATTATTAATACAATGCAGTGTTGATAGAGTTTAACAGTTAAACTATAACATATTCTAATAAATTGTTTTATAAGCAATAGAAATAACTATTGTCCATATAGTGTACAAAATCTATGATATAATAATTGGCCATAAACTCTTATTTTCATTCGTATAAAAATCGAATATCAAACAGGTTTGAGTACTTGGTTAGGTATAGGATAATTTGAATTCTATTATATCGTCGAAATTTTAAATCATTCAGTCGTTAAATGACACATAGTATCGTTTTATGATTAAATTACAAATGTATATTGATTATTATTATTTTATTGCTTGTATAGTTAAAAATTATAAGTATATTATTAACTTGTGTTTCTTAAAAAAAAACTTTTAGCGATGAGTTTCAAAGTAATTATAATATAGAAAACAAATAGCTTTGTTATTTTAAGTTCAATAATGCAAAATATATTTAGATTTTAAATAATAAAAACGAATTACACACTTGCTTACCTATTTTATATTTAGAACTTGTATATTATTTACTATTGAGACTAATCGTCCAATTATGGACAGGATGGGTGTAGTTCCTGTGGGTGGAGTGACGTGCAAGGCCTATTTTTGTATATCCAAGCTCACTAATAAACAATATCATGAATTCTTTAATTAGAAGTATAAATTAAATTTGAATTTGATTTGATGAAGGTTCTGTAGTAAACTAATCAGTAATCAATGACATTTTCATAATTTTCAAGAAATAAACGGATATACTAAAATAGCCTATGCTCTATATATTATATATTCTACAAATATATCCTGCTGTGTATTTATATATATTACAGATAAACATCAAACATCCTACTGCAGAAATAAAATTTTTATTTTTTTAAATAAAAATTCTATGTATATTGTGAAAGTAAAACAAATACTATCAGAAAAGCGATTTTTAATTTTTTCAAAAACCTTAAACTGCAGTATTTCATATTGACATTTATTTTCAAATTACATTTTACTTCAAAATTTAACGTTATTGAATTTATTTATACAATTGATTGAACTTAAAAATCAATACTATATATATTATAGATAATTGTGGTTTACTTTACCTAAATTGAACGATAACTATTTAAGCACGTGGGTATATTAAAATAGGAAATCCTATAGGTATAACCACCTATATTTCGTATTTTTACACAACATTTTACGACAACTAAAATAATAAACATTATTTTATGGATTATCAATTATTATATAATGGTATTTATTATAATTGATATTTTTAATAACATTTTAAGACACTTACTTATTTTTTCAAATTTATAATTCTTAAATAAACTTTAACATAGGTTAGGTAAAAGGTTAAACAAAAATATTCAACTATAGAAAATAATATATTTTTTTAAATAAACTATCGTATGTGAAGTGTCTTACAATACATCTATTGTAAAATAATTTATTTTGTTATAATTTAACAAAAAAAAAAAAATGTATGCAGCCATTAACGTTAAATAATAAATATATATTCTTTGTATATTTATTTTGATCAAAAAGACAAATTCTAATACCTACCTAATAAATAAAAAAACAATTTGAAATGATCTCGAGGTTAACTGTAACGTATAAAGTAATTTTTTTTTTTTGGTTGCGTTTAAAATATTTTTCTTACCTATTTTTGCTCTTAACTTATTTGGCCTATGGTATTTGTCTTTTAACCTCGACTTAGTACTTTCGTACTCCGGCATTGTAGTGTTGATGTTGACAGGGCACAGAAAATAAAAATGATCAATACACCAATATCTAAATGCGAATCGCATGTTCACGTTTATTATCGACAAATACAAGACACTAAAGTAAACTGTTCACTTTCGTCGGCAAAGATTATCTGAAGACACATGGTGGTGTTTGAGAAACAGTACTCCGGTGGGGTGTTACGGTCGACTGGACCACACTCGATAATACACTAAAAGACTTGTCGAAAAATCGGCCACACTGATATTAGACAAGGCTGATTTTTTTCTCAAGTACCGAATACTTTAAAGACACGTTTATGGCCTACATTTGTATACATATATGGGCCAGTAAACAAAACAAATATTATATTATATTATATCATTTTTTCTATACTATACTATGAAAAACTGTTCGGATGTATAAAATATATTATGCGTAATTGAAAAATACATAATTTGATATAATTTAAATAATAATTAAGTTGAATGATAAAATGTTATAATAATTACAGCATATCGCTTGTATTAATTACTCATATTAAAATTTGCTGAAGTTTTTCAAATCAAGAAAGAGATGAATACTATTATTTCAAAATGAATATTATCATTGTCTGAAAGTTTTCACCATCACAATATTTTAAATCACGTTCATTATTTTAATATGCACTTAATTGCTTTTGTACATTGTAGTAGGTACCTTGTAGGTAACTTCAATACATCAAATATTATATAAATGTAATGTATGTAAGAAAGTATATATTTTTAATTAAATTAAATATTTTAAATTTCACTATTTCACAGTTAACTTAAATGTATAGATTGAGTGTACTAATTGTGCTCAATTAAAATTATGAAAAATAGTTATTTAAAAATTTTTTTTTCTTTTAGTCAAGATGTACGTCATAATTTCCAGTTGTTTATTTTTAATTTAAATGTATTTATAGTAGAAAAAAAATGTGATAAAGTAGGTAAAGTTTTCTATTTTTAAAAGTTTGCAAAAAAAAAATATTTGAACTAGATAGAATGAGACCACATATAATTAAGTGAAAGGTTATACTTTTTTTTAGTTTGAGAGAAAAATCAATTAGCAAGGTATTAGTTTGGCGTGTTAAATTGCAAATGATAATAACTTATAAGTAATAACATGGGAAAAAAAATCTTACCAGTTTCATGTTTTTGGTCGTTCTTTTCGATATTGGACTTCGATTGCCTAAAAATAATAGAAACTATCATTACATTGTTGTCATTAAATTAAACATGTATACCATCATCAGCTAAACCTAAAATAATGTAATTAAAATATTATTTTCAACAGTAAAATATACATAATTTCTAGTAGGTATAGGAAACGCTACTAATTTCTATATTTTAGAATATTTTATGTATTATATTACACTAAAATATCATTTGTGAATTATTTAATTCAATGTCGAATATATTTGTTAGTTTTTAAAATATGTCATGGGCTTTTTTTAAATTTTAACACGCATATGTATATTATTTTAATACGATAAAGAATGATGATATTTTATGTATGAAAAAAGCCTATAGCGGTGTGTACAAAAAAGTAATCACTGCACCGTATATCCTCGTTTCAAATCGGATTTTAACAAGGTGCATGCTGTATTGCTGTGTGTGTACACTTAATATTTATATATTATAAATTATAATACAAAATTACCAATCGATTGAAATATTTTTTATATATTATTATTATGTGTATTATTGCTGTTTATACATTTAAATATTATGTAAACGTAATTGTATTTTCAATAGTAAGAAATATTTTTCACATTAAATAAAATATTGACCTCATTTTAAGTTAAATTGATAAATAATAATAATACGACTGTCACTGACATGGCATAGGTAAAAATTAATTTAAAATGTTAAGCATAATGTTGCAGACTCCATAATTAAATGAAATAGCATAGATAAATTTGACTGATGTAACTGAATACTTTTGAACAAGACGCAAAGATAGAAAAGTTTTTATAAATGTACTATTTTTCGGTCCTTTACATTTCGATTTAGTTTCCACGTTGTTTTAATGTATGTAAACAAATTTCAGTTATTTATCATTTATACAATGCCAATTATGTTTCCTAATAAAACATTTTTATGATAATAATACACATTAGCATTTATAATCATTGGTGTAAATAAGGTGGCGACTGTTAGAGACTTATTTGCCCTTCCCAAATATTTATAAAAAACATCTCTCCCCCCCCCCCCCAATCAAGTACTTGATAGTTTATTATTTATTATATTATCCCGCAGTTTAGAAAATAAGGCCAATAATTATTATTAAAATATAAAAATGTATTTAAAATGTTGTTTATATATGTGATATACTTTATATAAGTGGTATAAATAGGTTAGATGCGAGTTGTGTACTACGACCAATGATGATAATTGAGAATTACTGTCTTCCAAACAAAATGTGGTGTTATACTTAAAACAAATACCTATACAATATATAAATTGATGTAAGTAATAATTGTTTATATTTATTTGAACGTGGGAGAGTCCTACACTCCCTACACTCTGTATTTATATGTACACCGCATAGCTTCCACGTATTTTTTTCAACATAATATACCTTAGTTTCCCCGAAAAATTCAGAAATGTATGCTTTTGTCTATAACAGTATAATTTCTTATAAGTATTAAATTAAATTAATTTTTGATAGTTTACAACTATAATTTTTTTTATATTCTTTATCGTATACAAATTAAATCTAGTTGTTTGATTGTTATACCAATTTTCCGTCGTATAGATAATTATCTATACAATATGATTTATATCACTTATTCAATAAAACATAACTTTATTTTGATTTATATATATTTCATATAATGACGTGTCTAATAGTAGGTACGTAAACATGAAGCACACCCTACAAATCAGCGGCATGTCTAATCAATAATATTCACTACCGGGGTGACCGATCCGACAAACATTTAGTATTAAAAAATAAAATAGTATAGGTACAAAAAAAAAATATCAGTAGACCGAGGTACATTTACCATGCTTCTGCGGTGTCATGTATATGCAGACATACAGTAACGTCAAAACCAAAGGAAGAACCTTAAGGTATCATATATTTATTTTTAATATGCTTATGGTTATATAATATACCAATTTTTACATCATTACATAATGATTAATGCATTTTTATTTGTATTTAATTAGATATATATTGTATTTACTTTATTTATTACTTATGCAGGTTGATTCACCAATCATTACAAATCTCTCTTTTCTTTTTTTCAGAACCTATTGCAGTTATTCAAAAATCAAAATCAAAATTCGAATGAATGTATCATTAAAGTAAAAAATGGGGGTGAGCCTTCTTGGTATATCACTATGTATATATATATGTATATACAACGTGCATAATACATCAATTGGGATTAGTATTTATTATTTCATCTTCAATTGCTCGTAAATTTGAAATAAATACATTTTAAAAGAACAATTTTGAATAATTCAACGGCTATTTATAGATATACCCTTAAAAAGACATAAAATAGTACAAAGATTTATATATTATGTCATTATATGAGTATAGGTATAGGTACTCGAGAACTATTTATAACATTTCCACATTAAAAAGTCAAATATATTCGATTAATGTGCAAAAATAAAATTTGTAGACTTATATAAATCTGAAATTGATACATATTCAACAATATTAAATATACCTAAAAAATACAATGAACCTGTATTACAATCTATTAAACCTTATTATTATTTGAAATAATTTATAATTTGGTACATCATTTAAAAATGTTTAAAAAGTTTTGATAAAATACGTTTAATTATAATTTACCGTATAATCACGAAAGCCAAAAATGAGTATTTTATTTATGTTACACATACCATTTGATAAATATTTGAAAGCTAATCATGGATTAATGCTCGAATATAATATTATTTAATAAAGATTAGAAAATGTTTGTACATATACCATATGTGGAAATTATAATATTTATTAAATCGAAGTAAAATTAAATGTTTTTTTACGTATTGATAGTATGTAAATTTCAGTGGATTTGAAAATTGTGTGTCGTGTGTAGGGTCAAAAAGGCGTGTCTTGAAGCATCGAGATTTATCACGATTACAGTGATTTTATTGTAATGTACAGGATGGGCGTGGGGTTTAACCGTCCAGAACATATATACTTGGTCGACACCCAAATAATTTTTTTTAATTTTATAACCTGTTGAAAGTATTATTGTTGCGAAATAATTCAACTACTGACATAATAAACAATTAGAATAAAATAAACGTCACGTATGATTTTTTCTTTAAAGTCTAAATAATAGTTATGCATTTCCATACATTAATAATATCTAATAATGGACATTCATACTGATGTGAATGTTAAAATAAAGTTTCAAAATATAATAATACTTAAATATAATATATAATACTTTAAAATAATAATTTTTGAAAAAAATTCCAAAATATTATATTCATTTATGCGTGTAATAATAATTCATATATTTTAGTTTAAATCGTTATTTTAGATTCAAACAATGTACTTAAATTTAAAAAAACCATTTAGACATGATAGAACAGTACATACCTATACCGGTGTATTATATTACAACATAATGAACAAAGTTTTTAAAAATAAACAGGACTGTATTTTTATATTTTATAAGTTACTAAATAAATACTTTATAAGTTTGGAAAAAAAAAAATAGTAGGTTTAATCGGATAGTATATAAGTGGTTAGAAGTATATTATCACGATAACTATGTTTTAAAGTAACATGTGTTGTATTGCTGTAATTTTCAGGCGCAAAATGTTTTCTTCGTTTATGTCGAAGATAATTCTAAGACAGGTAATTTCAAATATAAAACAGTAAAACAATTGAAATTAAAATGTTTCAAACTATTTTTGACAAAAATAATAATTTGAAGTGGAAGTATAATTTGTATTCAGTTTATTTTAATTTTGTATTTGATTTATTTATTTATATGTTAAAATGTTTTATTCTTATTATTTTTTTGGTCTGGTATCTCATTATACTTGTATATACTTTTTTTTTATTAAAAGAAAAAATATATACAATCTGTATTATACTATACAGTATACAATAAGTAACATGGTTAATAATTTGCAAAACTGGACGTCCCAGCTTTAGACGACGTGGTTATCGGGGAGAGCGAGGGAGGAGAGATTGGAAATGAGTGGATTAGGGTGGTTGACTATTATTGTGAAATAATTTATAGTAGTGGGAGGCTAGGGTATTAATGTTTGGGATTTTGAGATCAGAGTGGAGTGTGAGGTTGCTGACGTACCAGGGGGCGTTGGTGAGGAGTTAATTGGATTGGAATTTTTGAATGTTGGATTTTTTGGAGGTACCCCACACGTAGCTGTATTCTGTAAGTCATTTGTAGGGCGGAGAATTTGTTTATAGATTACGAGTTTTGTGTTGAGAGGAAGATTTGATTTAAGAAGGTGTTTCATTTTGTGGAGCTTTAAATTGAGTGATTTCCTTTTTGTTTTTATGTGATATGACCAAGTGAGTTTACTGTCGAGGTGGACTCCGAGGTAACGGGTGGCTTGTGTTTTGGGAATCGTGTCGTTGTTGAGGATCATAGGGGGACTATGATCTGGACGTAGAGTAAAAGTTATGTGGGTAGATTTATTTGGATTTATTTTGATTCTCCACAAATTGAACCAGTTTTGTAGTTCATTAAGATGGGTTTGTAGATTATAAGATGCTGTGGTTAGGTCAACATTAGTTGAGATTATGCCTGTGTCATCTGCGAAGGTAGCAAGAGTGGTGTTCTCGGAGTGAGGAATGTCGGAAGTAAATATGTTGTAAAGTGTAGGTGCTAGAATACTTCCCCGGGGGACGCCTGCTTTTATATAATGGATTTGTGAGAGTTCGTCCTCGCAACGAACAAAATTTTTATTTACTTATAACTTAAAAGCTATAAATTATAGTTTTATAGTATATATTTAATGGGTATGCCTTAGAGTTTAGACCATAAAAGCAATGTTATTTACACTTTTAATTTTATAACAACATTTATAAATTACAAAATTTGTTGTAGGTGATTCTATCACGGAAAAAGTTAATAGGAAATTACACAAAAAGATCTTGAAGATACATATAACAAATAGCAGATTATCAACAGCAGTTTTTTGACCTAAACAACCTTGGGCAGACACAAAAAAAACGAAGTTTTGTGGAGTGTTACAAAACAAAATAAGTGAAATTCAAACAAACTGTGCTTCTACTCAGCTCTTAAAACACTGTAGTCTGCAGCTTCAGAAGTAATAGTTAAGTTCCTTACATCCAAATACAGACACTATCTTCGAAGAATATCTTCAAGATATTAATGTAACATTTTTATAACAAGGTGGGGCAAATTTGGACGGTATGTCACATCATTCTAATGATTCGAACTTTTTTTCATTGACTCAAGTTTAGAATTTTTAGACCACCTACCCTAAACATTTTACCGCTATTCTCCTAAAAGTGAATGCATAGGTTGTTTGTGGTTATAAAAGTAAAATAATCTTAAAACATTGTTCAACCTACCTTTTAATTTTACCTATTAGTATATTGTGAAACAGGTGATTCAAATATACTTTCTTCGAGCTACTACTATGTCATATATTTGCTTTGAAATTCGACGGTAGTCGGTAAGTCATAATATATTGGATTATAAATCAAAAGTACCTATATCAATTTATTATATATTATTATATACTAACCGATAAACGCCAATGGTCAATGTATCTCCAGAATTTCTAATTAATGCTTGAGCTTCGTTGGATGTAAGATGATCAACAGATGCAGAATTAATCGATTCAATTAAAAATCCTTCTCGAACACCAGCTTTTGCCGCTTTTCCTGCATTGTTAACCTGTAAAATAACAATTAAAATAGTTTAACAATTCCTTATTGTTATATACTATATGAAATCATAATAAATTGCAGTATTTTGTTTTCGAACGCATATAATTTACATAATCTTTAGTATTAAGTATTAAAATAATATATTTTGTTCATATGTTGATGCATATACTATACAAATCATATTAATATATTTTAAATTACATTATACTTTTAGTTGTTCTTACAAACAATGTAAAAAATAATGTTAAATAAACTGTAACATAGTTTATTAAACCAAAGAACAATCGAAATCATTAAAATATTTCAATATTGATAACATTTCAATACTAAGATTGTCGTATATTATTGTAAATGTTATGATTATGTACCGTAGAAATAATTGAGTATAATACTTGTTACCGATTTTATGATAAACAATTTTAATTCAAGTTACGAAATGATTATTTAACTTGTTCCTTTTTGTTTCGAAATTTGAGCATCATATGACGAGTATTTTCTGCCTTCGACAAACACACAATAATACGCCGTTATTCAATTTACGGGCGTCATTCAATCAAACAACAATGAAAAAAAAATACAGTTAATTCAAAATACGTATAATATGATAAATTTTTTATAACTGTGGTGGAAGGCGAAACAGAACTGAAAGTATGTAACTATTACACAGCAACTAGAGTATAAGCTGTCATAATAATCGGATATCATAATCAATGTTGTGGCATTTGACAGATTCTCGAAAACGCCCCCATTCCTACAATCTTAAAAAAAAAATAATTGAATCTACTCTTTTTTAAACTTACAAAATATGTGTATGAAATTAATTTTTTTATGGATATAAATTGAATGTTGAACTATGAGTGTTGGTTATACGTTGGGAATACCGCATTACAACATAACGAAACCCGTAATATAGGTATAGCCGTATAGGTATATCAAATATTCAAATGACAGTGCTTATGGGCTATGGCATACGTAATACGTATACAGCAAGAGTGTCAACAGTAAACGTACTTATTCCTTTTGTTTGAATTAAGAAAATGTAAGAAATAAAATAATATATGCCTGCGTGGGTTTTTATAAAAATTATTTTAAAAATCAAAACCACCCTTAAATGCGCCTTAAAAAAGTCATACGTATATTACATATTATATAATAATAATAATAATATATATACCATAGTTTACACAATAACAATACTATGCAATATGTAATAAATATTAAATAATAATAACATATATAAAATTGTAATTTAAAACAAATATTTAGTAAGCAATTTATGTCGAAACTATAATATTCATGACTTTTATGTTTACAGTTGAATTTATTGTGCCAATATATTACGATGCATTGTTATACTGTAGTTCTTTTTATATTTGTTTTCACCTTAAAGGCATCCATGTCATCCATGTAGTTATCTATGAAAATGATGAAATATATACTTTTAGAATGAAAATTAAAACAATAATACGTTATAACTAAACCGTTTTTATATACGTTGGACAACGAACACAACTCAATAATTGTCTTTATTCACTACGAATTTCAACTATCCAAGGTTAGAAAAGACCTATTAATCATATTGCAATAGAAAGTTTGTCATTTTTTATAAGCTCGTCAGCTACAACTAAGTTTGGAATCTTAGCTCATGCAGCTAATTTATTTGCACACCATAACATCCTGAAGTACGCCTACTAATGGGCAATGATCCATTTCACGTAAGTATTTAATAGCAAGTATATACACAATATATTATATTTATAAAACCAGTGGCGCAATTGTGGTGGGCAAGGGGGACACTTGTCCCCCCTGAAATGTTTGTGGGGGCAATAAGGTATAATTTGCCCCTTCCCCTCGCAGATATGCCAATACAGACATTTTTGAATCTTCTAAAATATATTGAGTGCATGTAATATATACCTACATTTAACACAGGTAAATTTGTAAAATAAATATTTTTTCCTGAAATTATTGCATAAAATACATTTATTTCACATTTCATCTGTTGCATAATAAATTAATATTGTCAACGTTATCGCATACTGGCGGTAATATTATTTTACGAATTAAGATTATCCATACAGGTCACACAGGATAATCATCACATTATTTTCTCCAAACAAATAAAAACATCTTTTTTTAATAAACTCTTATATAATATGTGTTTAATATTATTGAAAGATGGGTACCTACTGTTTGTTTCTAAGTTTCTAGTCCATAAAACGAGTTTTAAGATTATTGTCAAAACAATCAAACCGTTTTTTTATGATTTCGATTAGTGAATAAATTATTTTGTCTCCTCCCTAGTTTTGTACCCAGTTGAGTCACCTTTTAAAACTATGTAAGAATGACAATACCTTATTTTTATTTTGAGTCGCTAAAATGTTGGCCAACAACACGTCTCTGAACCTTCTAGCTGAATAATGAAAATGCACGTGTGCATCGGATACCGTTTCGACAAGCATTTAAAATACGACTGAAAGCGTAGGTAGAACGATATTATGATAGTAATCAAAAATATTTAAATATCATAATACACTCAATCACGTCAGTTTATAATAACAATCAAATACATTAAACTATATCGAAACTAGATGTAATAATACAACGTTTTTATCTAACAGGACGAAGAAAAATAAATTATGACGACAGTCGACAATGTTATTATTACGGCGATCGGGAAAAATCGAAAAAGTCGAAAAACATCGCAGCAGCGTCGCAGGTATATCCGGCGGTAATCGTGAAGAAATACTGATGATGGACAGGTAATACAAATTTCGCGTCGGACACAATATTGATATTATCGCATCCACGGCGGGTCGAGCATGAGACGGTAGAAGGAATAGGAAGGAAGGAAGAATGAAACGGTGGTAGCAGCGGTGCAGCATCTTAACCACGCTGTGCGTAATAATGACCACGGTGGTGGTATAAGAATGGATTATTTGGGCAAATGAACCGCAGTGGAATGCGAACGGCAGACCTTGAACGCCATACAATAATAATAATGCATAATATAATATAAGCACATTTTAAGTGTAGAGCGACTCGACCGCGGCCAGTGTTATATTATCCGCGGAGGAGGCACACAGACGGAGACATCACTGGGAATTGTTTTTTGGTTTTCGGGTTTTTTGTTTCAATGCAAATAATTTATGGCATGAGGTGCGATCGGAATGCGTACAATATGTGGCACGTTGTATGAGACACATACCATAACATCTCATACATTATAATTATTATTTACATAATGTACAATAAGTATCAATTTTAATTTACCGTGTTGCACACGTGCAACACTGCTGCAGTCCTGCACTCAAATACTCGATTAGTATGTAATAGACGATATAATATTATAGACCTATACGTGTGTGCGCGTATAGAATCCTTTGTCGAACGATATCCGAAAGCCGTAGGTATACATATTATATTATAATATAATACAAATACAGTGCTGCAGGATATCCAGCAACGTTATTATAATATTATTAAACGAGAAGTATAAATTATAGATAATTGAAATGAAATCAAACGGTTTTATTTTCACATAAACACTTTATGCTATTTAGTTATTCTGAACTTACGTACAATAATTTTGTTGTATAATCAAGCATAAAACGTAATTTTATTTAAATCCATGAAAATGGTAAATCTTTAAATGAGTCCATTAAACTATTAAAGTATCCTCGTTTATTACCATTTATCAGTATATTGTTTTTAATTGTTTAGTAAAATAAGAATGTGAACTATTTTTTTTTATTTAAATAAATCTTGACCTATTAAAAAATCTTTACGAAGCTCTTAAAAAACTATAACTTTAATGATTAATGAATGATCAGTAAACAAAATAAAATACATAAACATAAAGCTGTGGAATAATTAACAAATATAACTTAGCGAGGATACAAACTCGTAAATTCTAAAATTTATGTTCGTATAACAATAATATTATAACTATAACACAATATCCACGCAACAACAAAAAAATCATCAAAATATCTAATGTTATAACTTACGTTTCTGAAGTTTATAAGTTCATCGAAATGCATAGTGGAAGTCATTTTTCTGCCTTTTTATTATTAATTAGTATTAGGAGTATTGAATACTAAAACTTTTAGTATATTCTAAAAAAAGTGACCATAAATAATTGTATATGCATGCTTCAATCTTCTGCAATAATTTGATAACCTTTAAGATCATAATATTCATCTAAAAATTAAATTGGTACATTTTTTTTCTTTTTTCACGAAATTTTTAATCAAACGAACTAAATAATCTATTATTATTTGGTAGAAAATTCAGCAAAAAAAATATAAAATAAAATAATTATATTAGCGGAAACAGTATTGTTTGGTTTTCATTCGATCATTTTTATGCTTTTAAATATTTGTTGTATGAACGTATATTCTTAGTAATTATAGCTGCTTTATTTATATCAATACTAATAGATTCAAAAACTTTCAATAGCACATATAGAATAAAATATTTAAGAAAAGAATTTTTAAAATAAATTGCGTTCGTAATTTAAATATAAGTGCACACATTACAGAATTGTATGGACTAACCATATTATTCTACAATTTTACGTGACATACATAATTTTCTCGCACAAATCTATTTTTAGCGTGTTAAAATACGAAGACCTTCGCTTTAAACGCAGTTAGAAAAATATATTTTCAATAGATGCGTAAACATACCAGTGTAGTTATTATTTTATTAAATAGATAAATTGTCATAATGTATTATGACTTTTAAATAATATTGTATATCAAAACTACCAAATGCTAGAACTGCAAAACTTATTTCAACTTTTTCTCATAAATATCTATAACTTTTTTGTTCGAAAATTGATTTAACAAACAATTGTAGATACAAATGTATCTATTATGTACAGTCCACACAAAAAGTGTACTTATATTTTTCATAGTTTAATGACTTATACACTATAATATCTGTACATTTTCATATATACAATAGAAATAACAGTATAATATACACTATATTTGATATATTATAAATGTAACCAGTTCTTTTTTTTTTTTTTTTTTTTTTTTTTTTTTTTTTTTTTTTTTTTTTT